GCTCCCCATGTGTTCCCAGTGCCCCCCATGCATTCCCAGTGCCCCCCATGCATTCCCAGTGCCCCTCACCAGCTGGCCCAGTGGCACCTCCTCGAAGAGCGGGTGCTCCCTGAAGTGCGTCACCATCCACTGGTGCAGCTCAGGCACGTCCGTCACCGTGTACACCAGCCCCTGGGGCACGGAATCACCGGGGGGGGGGTGTCAGCACCCCCCCCCATTCATGCTCCATGGGGACACCCCAGGCTTTCCGCGGTGTCCCCAGGACAGGGGCATTGGGGGCACGCAAAGGGGTGGGGAACACGGGGGGACCCAGGGGTGATCCCCTTGTGTCCCAGGGTGTCCTCGTGTGACCTCCAGGGGGGGCTGGTGCGCAATGGGGTGGCCAGGGTGGGCCCGGGTACTGGGGGGGGTCCCCATGTTGCAGTGCTGGGGCGGGGGGGGGGTCCTGGGGGGTGTTCCCAGTGCTTGGGGAGGGTCCCGGTGCCCCAGTGCTTAATGGGGGTGTCCCAGCGCTGAGAGGGGGGGCCTGGTACTGGGAGGGTCCCAGTGCTTGGGGTATTCCCAGTGCTCAGAAGGGGGTGGCTCAGTGCCGGGGGGGTCCCAGTGCCGGGGGGGGGTCCCAGTGCTCAGAAGGGGGTGGCTCAGTGCCAGGGGGGTCCCAGTGCTCAGAAGGGGGTGGCTCAGTGCTGGGGGGGTCCCAGTGCTCAGAAGGGGGTGGCTCAGTGCGGGGGGGGGTCCCAGTGCTCAGAAGGGGGTGGCTCAGTGCTGGGGGGGTCCCAATGCTCAGTTATGGGGCTGTCAGTGCTTGGGGGGGGTCCCAGTCCAGCCAAGGGGGTGTCTCAGTGCTGGGGCAGCCCAGTGCTCAGAAGGGGGTGGCTCAGTGCTGGGGGGGTCCCAGTGCTCAGAAGGGGGGGGCTCAGTGTGGGGGGGTCCCAGGGCTCATAAGGGGGTGGCTCAGGGCCAGGGGGGTCCCAGGGGGGGTCCCAGTGCACAGAAGGGGGTGGCTCAGTGCTGGGGGGGGTCCCAGTGCTCAGAAGGGGGGGTCCCAGTGCTCAGTGCTGGGTGGGGTCCCAGTGCTCAGAAGGGGGGGGCTCAGTGCTGGGGGGGTCCCAGTGCTCAGAAGGGGGGGCTCAGTGCTGGGGGGGTCCCAGTGCTCAGAAGGGGGGGGCTCAGTGCTGGGGGGGGTCCCAGTGCTCAGAAGGGGGGGGCTCAGTGCCGGGGGGTCCCAGTGCTCAGAAGGGGGTGGCTCAGTGCTGGGGGGTCCCAGTGCACAGAAGGGGGTGGCTCAGTGCTGGGGGGTCCCAGTGCACAGAAGGGGGGGGCTCGTGCTAGGTGCCCAGTGCTCAGAAGGGGGGGTCCCAGTGCTCAGAAGGGGGTGGCTCAGTGCTGGGGGGTCCCGGGGCTCAGTGCGGGGGGGTCCCGGTGCCGGGGGGGTCCTGGGGCTCGGAAGGGGGTGCCTCAGTACTGGGGGGGTCCCGGGCTCACCCCCGGGCGCAGGACGTAGCCGTACTCAGCCAGCAGCGCGGGGCTGATGATTCTCCACTTGTGCTTGGTGCGCTTGAAGTGGGGGTCAGGGAAGAGGAAGAACATGCGGCGGAGCTGGGGGGCACGGGGGGGGCACGGGGGGGTCAGCGCCCCATGGGGAGCCGGGGGAGCCCCTGTCACCCCCCCCAGGCATTGACAATGAACAGGGAACTGGGGACACCCAGGGCAATGGGTACCCCCAGTGCCCCCCCCGTGAGTTCCCAGTACCTTCAAGTGACATCTCATGAAGTCCCAGTACCCCCCAGTGCCCCCCACTTTGGCCTCCCATGGGCTCCCCATATCCCCCAGTGCTACCCTCCCATGGGCTCCCAGTGGCCCCCAGTATAGAACCGATTGGCTCCCAGTACCCCCCAGTATGGCCCCCCACAGGCTCCCAGTACCCCCCCCATGGGCTCCCAGTACCCCCCAGTGCCCCCCCATGGGCCCTCAGTACCCCCCAGTATGGCTCCCAGTACACCCCAGTATGGCCCCCCCACGGGCTCCCAGTACCCTCAGTATGGCCCCCCATGGGCTCCCAGTACCCCCCCATGGGCCCTCTGTACCCCCCAGTACGGCCCCCCCCACGGACTCCAAGTGCCCCCCGAGTATGGCTCCCATTGGCTCCCAGTACCCCCCAGTATGGCCCCCTATGGGCTCCCAGTGCCCCTCCCATGAGCTCCCCAAGAGCTCTCAGTACCCCCATACCCAGCTGGGTCGATCCCAGTCCCCCCCCCATGTGCCTCCCTCCCTGCCCATTGCAACCCCCATGGAATCCCAGTACCCGCCCAGTGCTCCCAGTGCCACTCATGGGCAGGGTGCTGGGGGACTGGTGGGGGGTCCTATGGGGTTCTGGAGGGCACCGGGGGTTCTTTGGGGGGTTCAGGAAGGGTCCAAGGGGTTGGGGGGGGATCCTGGAGGCATTGGGGGGGTTGTGCCTGGGGATGGAATTTGGGGGGGGGGGTTTGGGGTGTCTGGGAACGCCTGGGGGGGGGTGGAAGTGATTGGGGGTGCATGGGGGGGGTCTGAGAGGGCTCTGGAGGTGCTGAGAGGGTTTGGGGGAGTCTGGAGGGATTGGGGGGGGCTCAGGGATGTCTGGGGGGGTTCGGTGACTTTGGAGGGGTTTTGGGGGGGGCTTGGGGTGTTTATGGGGGTTGTGAGGGTGTGGGGTGTTTGGAGGAGTTTGTGAGGGTTTTGGGGGCTTGTGAGGGTTCTGGGAGGGTTTTGGGGGGTGGTTTGGGGGCTGGTTTAGGGGGGGTTGTGATGGTTCTGGGGTGGTTTGTGAGGGTTTCGGGGTGGTTCTGGGGCGGTTTGTGATGGTTTGTGGGAGGGTTCTGAGGTGGTTTTGGGGCGGTTTGTGAGGGTTTCGGGGTAGTTTTGGGGGTTCTGGGAGGGTTTTGTGGTGGTTTTGGGGGAGTGGGATGGTTCTGAGCTGGTTTTGGGCGTGCTGTGATGGTTCCGGGGCAGTTTTTGAGGGTTTTGGGGTCGTTTGGGGGGGTTGTGATGGTTTTGGGGTGGTTTTGGGGCGGTTTGTGAGGGTTTTGGGGTGGTTTGTGAGGGTTTTAGGGCGGTTTGTGAGGGTTTCGGGGTGGTTTGGGGGGGGTTGATGGTTTCGGGACGGTTTGTGAGAGTTTCGGGGCGGTTTGGGGGCGGTTTGTGAGGGTTTCAGGGTGGTTTTGGGGCGGTTTGTGAGGGTTCCGGGGTGGTTTTGTGGTGGTTTGTGAGGGTTTTGGGTGGTTTTGGGGCAGTTTGTGAGGGTTTTGTGGCTCTGGGAGGGTTTTAGGGTGGTTTGTGAGGGTTTTGGGGCTCTGGGAGGGTTTCAGGGCGGTTTGTGAGGGTTTTGGGGTGGTTTTGGGGCCGTTTGTGAGGGTTTCAGGGTGGTTTGGGGCGGTTTGTGAGGGTTTTGGGGCGGTTTGTGAGGGTTTCAGGGCGGTTTGTGAGGGTTTTGGGGCGGTTGTGATGGTTTTGGGGCTCTGGGAGGGTTTCGGGTTGGTTTCGGGTTGTTTGTGGGGTCCCGCGGTCCCCGCGCTCGCACCTGCCCCCTGCGGAAGAAGTGCGGCACGTGCTTCATGGCGTTGCCCCGCACGCACGCCACGTTCCGGCAGCGCGGGGGAGCCCCCGCCCGCAGCGCCCGGAGCCGCTGCGCCGTGAACGCGGCCACGCGGGGCCGCAGCTCCAGCCCCAGCGCCAGCTCCTGCGGGAACAGCGCCGAGAGCGCCACTGCGGGCCCCGGCGGCGGTGAGGGCTACGGGGCCACATAGGGAGCAATGGAGCCCCCATAGGGAGCAATGGAGCCCCCATAGGGAGCAATGGAGCCCCATAGGGAGCAATGGGGCCCCATAGGGAGCAGTGGAGCCCCCATAGGGAGCAATGGAGCCCCCATAGGGAGCAATGGAGCCCAAGGGAGCAATGGGGCCCATAGGAGCATGGGCCCATGGGAGCAATGGGCCCATAGGGAGCAATGGGCCCATAGGGACAATCCCACAGGGAGCAATGGAGCCCTAGGGACAATGGAGCCCATAGGGAGCAATGGGCCCATAGGGAGCAATGGGCCCCATAGGGAGCAATGGAGCCCCATAGGGAGCAGTGGAGCCCCCATAGGGAGCAATGGAGCCCCCATAGGGAGCAATGGGGCCCCCATAGGGAGCAATGGAGCCCCATAGGGAGCAATGGGGCCCATAGGGAGCAATGGGGCCCATAGGGAGCAATGGGGCCCATAGGGAGCAATGGGGCCCATAGGGAACAATGGGGCCCATAGGGAGCAATGGGGCCCATAGGGAGCAATGGGGCCCATAGGGAGCAATGGGGCCCATAGGGAGCAATGGGGCCCATAGGGAGCAATGGAGCCCCATAGGGAGCAATGGGGCCCCCATAGGGAGCAATGGAGCCCATAGGGAGCAATGGGCCCCATAGGGAGCAATGGAGCCCCATAGGGAGCAATGAGGCCCATAGGGAGCAATGGAGCCCATAGGGAGCAATGGAGCCCCCATAGGGAGCAATGGAGCCCCATAGGGAGCAATGGGGCCACACAGGGAGCAATGGAGCCCCCATAGGGAGCAATGGAGCCCCATAGGGAGCAATGGAGCCCCCATAGGGAGCAATGGAGCCACATAGGGAGCAATGGAGCCCCATAGGGAGCAATGGGGCCCCATAGGGAGCAATGGAGCCCCATAGGGAGCAATGGGGCCCCATAGGGAGCAATGGAGCCCCCATAGGGAGCAATGGAGCCCCATAGGGAGCAATGGAGCCCCATAGGGAGCAATGGGGCCCATAGGGAGCAATGGGCCCTAGGGAGCAATGGGGCCCCATAGGGAGCAATGGGCCCTAGGGAGCAATGGGCCCGGGAGCAATGGAGCCCCCATAGGGAGCAATGGGCCCCATAGGGAGCAATGGGGCCCATAGGGAGCAATGGGGCCCCCATAGGGAGCAATGGGGCCCCATAGGGAGCAATGGGACCCATAGGGAGCAATGGGGACCCATAGGGGGCAATGGGGCGGGCCCATAGGGAGCAATGGGGTGGACCCATAGGGAGCAATGGGGCAGACCCATAGGGAGCAATGGGGCAGACCCATAGGGAGCAATGGGGCCCCATAGGGAGCAATGGGGCCCCATAGGGAGCAATGGGGCCCCCACAGAGAGCACCGGAGCCCCCACAGAGAGCAATGAAGCCCCATAGAGAGCAATGGAGTTCCCATAGAGAGCAATGGAGTCCCATAGAGAGCAATGGAGTCCCATAGAGAGCAATGGAGCCCCATAGAGAGCAATGGAGCCCCATAGAGAGCAATGGAGTTCCCATAGAGAGCAATGGAGTCCCATAGAGAGCAATGGAGTTCCCATAGAGAGCAATGGAGTCCCATAGAGAGCAATGGAGCCCCCATAGAGAGCAATGGAGCCCCCATAGAGAGGAACAGAGCCCCATAGAGAGGAACGGAGCCCCATAGAGAGCAATGGAGCCCCATAGAGAGGAATGGAGCCCCATAGAGAGGAATGGAGCCCCATAGAGAGGAATGGAGCCCCCATAGACAGCAATGGAGTCCCCATAGACAGCAATGGAGTCCCCATAGACAGCAATGGAGTCCCCATAGACAGCAATGGAGCACCCACAGACAGAAATGGAGCCCCGTAGAGAGAAACGGAGCCCCCACAGAGAGCAATGGAGCCCCCGTAGAGAGGAAAAGAGCCCCACAGAGAGCAATGGAGCCCCCATAGAGATCAATGGAGTCCAACATAGATCAATGGATCCCCCAGAGACAGCACCAGAGCCCCAGAGACAAGAATGGAGCTCCCATAGACAGCACGGGAGCCCCCTAAACACAGCCATGGAACCCCCTAAACATCAACACAGACCCCAGCCCCTCTGCCATGGATCCTCAGACCCAGCTCCAGCCCCTGAACCCCAAACCCCAACCACAGCCCCCCCCCCCCACCCTGGCTCCTGACCCCGACCCCCCCCAACATCCCTCCCCCCCGGTGCCCCCCTTACCCAGCAGCCCCCCGTAGCCGCAGCCCACGTCGAGGGTCTCCACGCGGGGCGGGGGCTGCCCCGGGGGGGCGTCGGGAGGGAAGAAGTCCGGGAAGAGCGCGGCCCAGTCCATGTCCTGCGGGCGGGCGGGGCTGCGGGGGCAGCGCGGTTACGGGGGGGGGGAACCGGGGTTACCGGGGGGGGATCGGAGATTGGGCTCCGGTGGGGTCCGGTTCGGGGTCACCGGGGGGGTACGAGGAGGGTCCTGGGGTCACTGGGTTGCTACCGGGAGGGGTTCCCGGGGATAACGGAGGTGTTACCGGTAGGGTCCCGGGTGGTACCGGGGTTACCATAGGATCACCGGGGGCTGTTCCCGGCCTCCCCCCCCCCGCCCGCACTCACTACCGCAGGGTGTGATCCGCCAGCGGGTTCGAGTGCGCGCGCTGCCGGTAGAACCGCTTCTGCGGCAGCGCCGCCGGGTCCGCCATGGCCGCACCGGAGCGCAGCGGCACCGCTGCAGGCGCACGGAACTGACGTCACCGCGCGGCGCTGATCAGTGACGTACGCACAGCGCCCGCTGTGGGTGGGCGTGGGGTGGGAGAGGTCGCGATGATGGGCGGGGCTCGAATAAGCCACGCCCCTCCATTCATCCCAGGACCCCCATTGACCTCAATTGACCCTAAGGGCCTTCAGTGTCCTCATTGCCTCCCAGTGCCCCACAGTACCCCCCTGAGCCCCCAGTGTCCCTCATTGACCCCCACCAGCACTTCCCAGTGCCCCCTGGTCACTCCCAGTGCCCCCCCAGTGCCCCTCATTGACCCCCTCCAGCGCCTCCCAGTGACAGCCCAGTGCCCCCTGCTCACTCCCTGTGCCCCCCAGAGCCCCCAATGCTCCTCACTGACTCCCTCCAGCACCTCCAAGTGCCCCCTGGTCACTCCCAGTGTCCCCCCAGTGCCTCTCATTGACCCCCTCCAGCACCTCCCAGTGACAGCCCACTGCCCCCTGGTCATTCCCAGTGCCCTCCAGTACCTCTCATTGCCCTCCAGTGCTTCTTACTGAGCCCCCCCACTGCATCCCAGTGCCCCACCGAGCCCCCAGTGCCTGTTAGTGACCCCCTCCAGTGCCCTCCCAGTCACGTCCTGGGTCCTTCAGTGCCCTCCCCCCAGCCCCCATTGCCCTCCAGTGCCTCTGACTGACATCCCCCTCCTATTGCCTCCCATCCCCCCCATTGCCTCCCATCCCCCCCCATTGCCTCCCATCCCCCCCCATTGCCTCCCATCCCCCCCATTGCCTCCCATCCCCCCACCCCCTGGGGTTCTTTGGGGATTTCAGGCTCTGACGAAGCCGGTTTCTGAGAAAGCCCCGGGGGGGGGGGAGGGGGGCGGGGGAAGGTTCCGGGGGGGGCGGGGTGGGTGGGGGGTTGAGCAACACCGGGCAGGACCCGCCCGACCGGAGCCTTCCAGGAACCGTGCGGGGGGAGGGGGGGAGACTCGGGAATCAACCCCCCTCGACCCCCCTCGGGTGCCCTGACCCCCCCCCCAGGGTGCTACAAGCATTCACCGGGTGCCGCAGGCCCTGGGGAGCCCCGGGGGGTCCCGGTTGTTCATTACCCCCACGAGGGGCTCGCCCCCCCCCTCCCCGGTTACTGTTTATCCGGGTCATGTGGGCTCCGGGCACAAGGAATGGGGCTGGGATGGGGGGGTCCCGTGTGTGTCCTCAGGGGTGGGGACAGGACACATGGGATGGGGACACCGGGGCAGGAACACAGTGACCTGGGACATGGGGACAGGGCACCGGGACAAGGACACCAGGAACAGGGATACCAGGGCTATAGACACCAGTGCCAGGGATAATGGGACTGGGGACACCGGGTGAGGGATGTGGGGTCAGGGACACTGGCCCCACACTGTGAGCAAGGACAGTGAGAACAGAGGTGTTGGGATCAGGGACACTGGGGCTGGGGACATCAGGGTCAGGGACACCAGGACAGAGACACCAAGGACAGAGGTGCTGGCACCAGGGACACCAGGATAAGGACACCATGACCAGGGACACCAGGGTCAGGGACACTGTGACCAGGGACCCTGGGATCAGGGACACTGGGGCTGGGGACATCAGGGTCAGGGACACCAGAACAAGGCCATCATGAGCAGGGACACCAGGTGAGCAACACTGGGTGAGGGACACTGTGACCAGGGACACCAGGGCTGGGGACACCAGGCCTGGCTCCAGGCCCCTGCCAGGGACAGTGTCCCAGTGGTGACACTGGTGTTGATGGGACAGGGACAGGAGCAAGAGGACAGGGGATGGCACCAGGGTGAGACCCTAGGACAGGGAGTGGTGGCCTCCGACTGGGACAGGGACAAGACTGGGCTGGCTGGGAGCAGGAGACACCGAGGATGGGAGTGAGGAGAGATGGGAACAGGGACAGGGAAGGGATGGGGACAGGGAAGGGGCTGGGACTGATGGGTGGGACAAGGAGTGCCCTGGGGACATCGGGAATGGGGACACTGGGATAGGGCTTGGGGACATTGAAGATGAAACAGCGTCAAGACACAGCGACACCGCCGAGGGGTAGGCGGAGCCTCAGACCCCGCCCCTCCGGAGGGAGGGGGCGGTGTTTTCAGCACTGACCAATCACGGAAGGGGCCGTGGCTTACGGCCCCGCCCTCTCCGCCAAAATGGCTGCGCCCGCGCGCCACGTGGGTGTTGAGACCCGGTGGGAGACGGCGGCGGGAGGGGAAGGAGGAACGGAAACGGAATGGGAATGGGAAGCGGAAGAGGAAGCGGAAGAGGAAGCGGAAGGATCCGGCGCGCTGCGGGCCGTGTTCCCCCGCGACCCCGCGCTCTTCGCTGACACGTTCCCGGTGCTGCGGCGGTTCCGGCTCTGCGGGCGCGTCCTGCGCATCGCGCAGCACCACGGGCCGCGCCTCGGGCTGGCGGCCAACGTCTGGGAGGCGGTGGGTGGGGGGCACCCGGGAATGGGAGCACGGGGCAGGGCGGGCACTGGAGATGGGGGCTTCACTGGGGGGGGGACTCTCGGGGGTTCCCTGATGGAGACGGTGGGAGGGGCAATGGGGATGGGGGGGGCATCCCTGAGGATCCCCAGGGAGTGGGGGATCCACCCCCCGGGGGGGCTCTGGGTGATGTCGGAGGGGGGGAGGGTTTGGACTGCCCTCCCCCCCATCGCACTCATCCCCTCAACTCCCCCATTCCCGTTCCCCCCCCCCCCCAATCCCCTTCCGCCCCCTCCCAGGCGCTGGCCCTGGCCCGGTTCCTGGAGCAGCAGCGCTTCGAGTTCCGGGGCCGGTCCGTGATCGAGCTGGGCGCCGGCACCGGCATCCTCGGCATCTTGGCGGCGATGCTGGGTGCGCACCGGGAACGGGGGCACCCATGGGGCTGGGAGGCAGGGGTCACGTGTACACACACACACACACACACACACCCCCCTTCCCTGCCCATTGGAACTGGTAGCAAGTGACTCCTTATTGGGATCTTGGGGGTGGGGGGGCAAGGGAGCTCTCGGGGACGCAGGGGTTTGGGGGTGCACAGAGGCGGTTGTGAGGTGCCCCCCTCTAAACCGCCCCCTCCCCCGTTCAGGAGGTGACGTCACCATCACGGACCGGCCGGCGGCGCTGGACCAGATCCGGGAGAACGTCCGGTTGAACTTCCCGGGGGCCGGGACTCGGCCGCGGGTGCGGGCGCTGGAGTGGGGCCGGGACGAGGACTCCTTCCCTCGGGACTTCCAGGTCGTTCTGGGCTCGGACCTCGTCTACGACCCCGCGTCCTTCCCAGCGCTGCTGCGGGCACTGCGGCACCTCTGCGGGCCCCGCTCCCAGGCCCTGCTGAGCGCCCGCACCCGGGGCGGGGACAGCGGCTCCCGGTGCTTCTTCCACCGGCTCCTGCCGCCGTTCTTCCGGGTCCAGCTGCTGTGGCAGGAGCAGGAGCACGACATCGAGATCTATGGAGTGACCTGCTGGGAGGGGACCGCGGCACCCCCTGCCTGGGGGTCGTGCGGGGAGGGGGGGGTCGCTGCAATGGGGGTATCCTGACAATGATTAAACGGTCACCATTTAATGGCTGGGCGGCTGCAGTGCATTTGGGGGTACAGGTCTGGGGGGTGGGGTCTAAAAGGGTTGGGAGGTGTCTGGTCAAGGCTGGGGGACCTGCATAGGGGATGTTTAGGGGGGGAGCCTGGTCAAAGCTGAGGGGGGTCTCTATGGAGGTCAATTGGGGGATGCAGGGCCCTGGGGTGGTTGACCAAGTTCTGGGGGGACCTGGCTGGGATCGGTGGGGGTGTCTAAAAGCGTCTGGGGGCTCTATAAGGGGCTCGGAGGCCTCTAGAAGCCGGGGGTCAGGGCTGGGGGGGGGCGCCTCTGGGTGGCTGCAGCACCTGAGGCTGCTGGGTCCGGTTCTGGTGTCCGGACGCACGGGGCGGGCGGGCTTTAGCACCCGGGGGAGCCGCTCCCGCCCTACCCCAGATCCGTCGCGCTGCGAGTGACGTCACGTCCGAGTCCCGCCCTCGGGGGTCGCGCTTGTGCCCGTAAAGCGGCGTCGTGACGTCATCTCTGCGCGCCGCGGGCAGGGTCCGGGATGCAGCGGGCGGCGCGGAGCGCGGTGTGGGTGAGAGCGGGACCCGGACCCCAATGGGGAGACCCCCCCGGTCCCGTTCACTCCATTTCCCTCCCATTCCCCCCCGCGCTGTCCCCTCCAGGCGCTCCCGGCCCGGTTCTTCCGCGCCGGCGCCCCGGTGCTGGCGGCGGACAAGGAGTCGCTGCTGCAGCTGCGGCGCCGCACGGGGCTCCCGATCCTGCAGTGCCGGGACGCGCTGCAGCGCTGCGGGGGGGACCTGGCGCAGGTGAGGCCTGGACTCGGAGGACACCGGGGCTGGGGGTTCCGGAAGTGCTGGGTGTGCTGATCTCTGGGGTGACCCTCACCCGCGTCTGTGCCCCCCCCCCAGTGTGTGACACCCGTCATGTGACACCTCCGTGCTGAACCCACACCCTGGTGATTGACCCCCCCCATCCCAGCGCTCCCCCCGATGTGACGACCCCCCCCATGTGACCCCCTCCTGCAGGCCGAGGCCTGGCTGCTGGAACAGGCGCGGCGCCAGGGCTGGAGCAGCGCCCCCGTGGCGCGGGAGCGGCCGGCGCGGGAGGGGCTGGTGGGGCTCCTGCGGGAGGGGCCGGCGGCCGTGATGGTGGAGGTGGGTACCGGCGGGGGGGGGTTCGGGGAGGGGGGGGGTGTCCGGTCCCTCCCGGTCTCAACCCCCCCCCTCCAGCTCAGCTGCGAAACCGACTTCGTGGCGCGGACCACCGAGTTCCAGCGCGTGGTGGCGCAGGCGGCGCTGGGCGCTATGGAGCTGTGCCGGAGAGCGCCCCCTGCCGCCCGGGCGTGCTCACAGGTGCGTGTGTGCATGGGGGGGAGCCCCGACCCCCCCCAAGGCACCCCCACATCCCTCAGCCCCTTTAAGCACCCCCCAGCACCCACACAGCCCCTGTGGTCCCCCTAAACCACAACTCCCTCTGGGGGGGCACCCCATACTCCCCCTGTCCTCCCAAACCACCACAGCCCCCTCATAACCAACCCACAAAGCCCCCCCAGGGGGAGTCGCAGATGGGGGGGCACCCCCTGTCCCCCCTTAACGCCCCCCCAACCCCTACCCCAGCACTTCCTGCAGCCTGAGGAACTCGCTGAGCTCCGGACCGGGCCTGGTGGGGGGCCCCTGAGTGAGGAGCTGGCGCTGGCCCAGGGTGAGTGGGGGACACCAGGGTGGGGGTGACCCTGGGGAGGGACAATGGGGGACATGGGGTACCCAGGGAGGATGATGGCAGGGACCTGGGGGCACAGGACCCAGGGTGGTGACCAGGGACATCTTGAAGGTACAGGATGGAGGGGCACTTGGGGGGGGGGACAGACACCTGAGGGTGGTGATGGAGGGGGTGGTGGGGCCATGGGGCACCCGGGGGGCATGGAGGTGATGGGACACAGGGACACCCCCCTAGACAACGGCTGTGGCCTTGGGGAGGGGACAGGACCTGGGGTCACCCCAGGACAGGGTGACGGGGGGAGGCACCCTGGGTGGTGACAGAAGGGACATGGGGGGACAGCAGGGAGTGGGGAATGGAGGGGAGCTGGTGGTGGATGTGGGGTGAACCTGGAGTTCGGGGGGTGGACACCCAGGGCGGTGACAGGAGGGACCTGGGGTGATCCTGGGAGGGGGTGACCCCCTGTGACCCCCCCATCTCCCCGCAGGCCGCCTGGGGGAGGCCGTGTCCCTTCGCCACGCCGCGTGGCTGCGGGTGCGGCCCGGGGCCGGGTTCGTGTCCGGGTACGCGCACGGGGGCCCCGCTGCGGATCCCGGCGCGGGGCCGGTGGCGCTGGGGACGCTGGGCGCGCTGGTCGCGTGCGGCGCGCGGGGCGTGGCGCGGGGCGGCGCGCGCGGGGCCGCGCTGGAGGCGCTGGGCCGGCAGGTGGCGCAGCACGTGGTCGGTTTCGCGCCACGGCGCGTGGGGCGCGCGCGGGAACGGCGGCGGGGCGGGAAGGAGGAGGAGGAGGAGGAGGAGGCGCTGCTGGCGCAGGAGTTCCTGCACGCGCCGGGGCGCCGCGTGGGGCGCGTGCTCCGCGCGCTGGGCCCGCTCTGCGTCACCGGCTTCGTGCGGTTCCGCTGCGGGGAGGAGCCCACCGGGGACGTGACCTCACGGTGACCCCGCCCCCCAACACGTGACCCGCCCCCGGTATCGGCTGGGGTCACCCGGGGTCGTTGACCCCTCCCGGTACCGGGGGCATCCCCAGCGGAATAAACGGGAATAGAAGCGGGCCCGGGTGTTTTATTGGGTGGGGGAAGCGTCCTCGTGCCCCCCCCCCCCTCCCCCGCCTCCATCCCCGTCCCCAGGGACCCCCCGGTTTGAACCCCCCCCACCTGGACTTCCCCTGCTCCCACCCCGGCCTTGACTCCAGCTCCCCCATTCGGGACTGGCCCTCACCGGGGTTGACCTTTCCTCCCCCCCCCCTCGTTCTCCCCCCCCCTCCCCCAGCACCGCCAGCACTGGTTTATTCAGGTTGAACCGGTAAAACGGGGGAGAAGGATTGGGAAGTGCTCGGTGAGGGGGGGGGGACAGGACACACGGTGGCCACGGGATGATGCTCAGCCGCCCCCCCCCCGTCCTCCGGTATTCCCGCCCCGTGACGTCACCGGCCGCCTCCCAGGACAAGTAACCGGGAGCAGGCCGGGCTGGAACAGCCTAATCCTGGATTACTTGAACCGGGCCGCGGCCGCTGCTCCCCCCGCTCCCGGTGACACCGCCCCCCCACCCCCTGTGTCCTCACGTGACCCCCGGTACCTGCCGCCGCGCGCCGCTGCCGGAGCCACCGGTACCACGGCGGTTTCCAGCCCCCCCCCAACCCGAACGGCGCTTCCTGATTGGGTACTGGGAGGGGGGCCTGGAAACAGCCGCCAGGCGCTGATTGGAGGAGGCGGAGGCGCTGCGCGGGGATTGGCTGAGGTGAGCGCGGGAGGCTGGGCCCGGTGGTGTTTACCGCGGAAAACATCCCGGGAAGGGGCGGGGTGAGCCTCGGAGCCGCGCCCACGCGTTCTCAATCCCCATTGGCTGGGGCCTGCGTGACGCAGGGGAGGGGCGGGGCTATGACTGGGGCGGGGCCAGGGGATGGGACGGGGACGGGGGCGGATACATGGAGACAGGGATACGTGGACACAAGGGTACGTGGATACAGGGATATACGGATACATGGACACAGGGATACATGAATTTATGGATACAGGGATACATGGATACAGAGATATACAGATATATGGACACGGGTAGATGGATACTGGGACTCAGGGATATACGGATACGTGGACACAGGGATACATGGATACAGGGATATACAGATACATGGAGACAGGGATACGTGGACACAAGGGTACGTGGATACAGGGATATACGGATACATGGACACAGGGATACATGAATTTATGGATACAGGGATACATGGATACAGAGATATACAGATATATGGACACGGGTAGATGGATACTGGGACTCAGGGATATACGGATACGTGGACACAGGGATACATGGATACAGGGACTCGGATAGAGGGATATACAGATACATGGACACAGGGATATACGGATACAGTAATACAGGTATATATGGATACATGGAGATAGGGGTATCTGGATACAGGGATATATGGATACATGGACACAGTAACACAGGTATATGTGGATACATGGAGATAGGGGTACATGGATACAGGGATATATGGATACATGGAGATAGGGGTACATGGATACAGGGATATATGGATACATGGACACAGGGATACAGGTATATATGGATATATGGAGATCGGGGTACATGGATACAGGGGTATATGGACATGGATACAGGGATACATGGCTACATGGATACATGGACACAGGGATACATAGATAAACGGACACATGTATACAGGGATGCATGGACACAGGGATACATGGATACAGGAATACATGGCCACAGCTCCCACCAAAACTCAATCCCATGGGCTGAATATCCCAGTGGATCTGAGCCTGAACCCTGGCACTTCCGAGTCCCCATGGGTTGCTCAGGTGCATGGGTCCTGGATTCACTCACCTGAACTCCCACAGCTCCATTCCCGAGCAGGGAAAAACCAGGAATAGAATGAATCCCTCTGGGAAAAGTGACTGGAATGTCAAGTTTATTTTTAAAATGCCCCAAAAGCTGAAGAGAAAAGGTTAAAAGGGATCTTTTCCCGGGAATGCCGCAGTCAGTGCATTCGATAAATGCCAAGCAGAAAGAACCAGGGAGTTTTCCTTGGGAAAAAGGCTGCATGAAACCAGATTTAATTAAGGAGAAGCAGGATATGGCCTCGATCGAGTCCAATCAATCAAACTGGAATCAAGGGGGTCGGGAATTGGCTCCGGAGGTTCCCTGAGATGCTGGAAAAGCAGCTCCACACAATCAGCCCCTGCCTGTGGAACGCTGGGAAAATGGGGCTCAATGGAATCCCCCAAACAGCAGCTTCAAGCATCCGGCTCCGGGTCAGCTCTGGGCTGGGAATAACCCATAGGAAAGAGGAGGTGCTGGGAAGAAGCATCTCCATGAGGAAGAGGCTGCTGGAGGGACCCAGACCTGGAGTCACCGCAGCTCCTCCTAAGCTGGTCTCTGAAACCATCACGAATGGAGCCCTGCTGCGACGCGTTTCCCAAACCTGGAATTTTCCTCAAATCAGGAAAAAAGACTTGGATGAGCATCCACGGGAGAGAAACGTGAATCGGAACCGGAATAATGGTGGGGAAGCCTTTCCCAGCGCAACCATCGGGAGCTGAACGGGAGGAACCTGGAAGCAAGCCCCAAGGTTGGGGTTGTGGAGCCGGGTTGGCGGCTCCGGCTCCGCAGCAATTCCCAGCGCTCCCAGGACCATCCGGTCCCATTGTCCGAACCCCGGCTGCGCTCAGGGTCCCAGCGTGAGCCCGGCTCGGTGCTGAGCCCGAGCCAGGGCGGGTTTCCACTGACACCAGTTCTATCCTCAGGGATCAGGAATCATCTGGCGACGAGCGTGTCCGTGTCCACGTTGTTGAGCAGGAAGAGCTCAGGGCAGGCAGCGAGGCCCAAGTGGTGCTGGAAGAGGTGAAGGGCGAGAGTTAGAGCTGAGCCGAGCTCCCCCATCCCAGCCTCGTGGCACATCCCCGCCTGCCGGGCCTGGAGCTTTGGGCTTTCCATCCTTCGGGAAGCAAAGCCAAGCAGCGTTCAAGCGGCCAATCCATGGAACGTTGCAATGGGGAAGCAGCACCACCCCGCGCCCTCCCATCCTTCATTAGGGGTGATTGAGACCTGGATGGGATCTGCCCATGGGATAGCATCCGCTTCCATGGAGCTCCAGGGAACCAGGCTGCCCCATCCCTGCAGTGCTCAAGGGCAGGTTGGACACAGGGGCTTGGAGCACCCTGCTCCAGTGGAAGAGGTCCCTGGGGCTGGATTGGAGCTGGAGGAGCTTTAAGGTCCCTCCCAACCCAACCCATTCCATGACTCCATGGATGCCATCGGGACTGGTGCAGCTCCATCCTTCCCCCTCTTGCTGGAGGCCACGGTCACAACGGACAGGGGAGCCCAGAGCGAGCCCAGCCGAGGCCGGAGGGTCAGATCCTGCGGGGATCCCAATGGATCTGCTCCGCCCGCTGTGCTCTGTGGGCTTGGAGCCACGGGGGTCTCCTCCACAGCCAGGAATGGCCACCGGTCCCAAGCAACCCCCCAAGAAACAACCCAAGGAGCCGAGCGGAACAAGATCCATCCTTTAATGGCACCATGGGGCTCCATAAACTGCTTCCGAGGAGACACGGGGGGAGCAAAACCAGCCTGAGCCTTAGGAGGAGCAGGAGGTGGGAATGGGGAGGCTCCGCAGCGGAGCTGCCACCCACAAGTTAGTACCGGCCCCGGTCAATCCCAAATGCAGGAGAAGGAGAAGGATGGAATGGCGCTGGCTTGGATAAGGGTAGGAACATCCTGAGCGCCCCTGCCTGTGCTCAAACCCCACATCTTAATGCTGGGAGCAATTCCCTGCCTGGGACCAGAGCAGGGCTGAGGAAGGGGATGGAATTCACCATTAAATCCATGAGAGGGAAGCTTGGTGAAGGGCTGGAGCCCAGCGTGCGCGGGGCAGCCCTGGGGAGCTCCATAAGGAACCTCCTGGAGCCCAACCAGGCCGAGGGCAAGGTCCTGCCCCTGGGAAGGGGCGATCCCAGCACAGAGCCAGGCTGGGGGGGACCGGATGGAGCAGCCTGAGGAGAGGGACTTGAGGTCCCCCCATGAGGCTTGAGCCCAGAACCCCCCAGTGCGGGGCTGCACCCCCAGAGCGGGAGCAGCAGCTCCGGGAGGGGATCCTGCCCCTCTGCTGCATGAAGGGGGGACCTGAGAGCAGCTCCAGTGCCTGAAGGGGCTGCAGGGAACCTGGAGAGGGGCTTGGGACAGGGGATGCAGGGACAGGGCAAGGGGAATGGCTTGAACCTGCCCGAGGGGAGCCTGAGCTGAGCTCTGAGGCAGAAGCTCTTCCCTGTGAGGGTGCTGAGGCGCTGGCACAGGGTGCCCAGAGAAGCTGGGGCTGCCCCATCCCTGCAGTGCTCAAGGCCAGCTCTGGATGAGCTTTAAGGTCCCTTCCAACCCAACCCCTTCCATGGTTCTGTGAACCCAGGAATCCCCTTGGGCTCTCTCCCCTGTCCCGGGGGATGCAGGAGCAGGCGCTGTTTGTGCCACACCAAACCACCCCTTCCTGGTCTTTTCAGGTCCACGATAGCATCGTTGGTACCTAAACCCCCTTTGTGGAGCTGAGCCTGTTCCATGCCCAGCCACGGCTCTCAGAAGAGGAACAGACCCTGGACACCCAATCCTCATGATCGAGGCACCCAAAAGCACCCCGGGACAGGGGATGTAACCCCCAAATCCACCCGCTGCTGGGAGAAACCACAGAGGGACCTTTCCAACCATGGAAGCAAAGCAAACCCCACTCTGTCCACAGCAGACTCTGGATGTCCTCCATGCAAAGGCCTCCATGGAAGGCACTGGGAGTCATTGATGTGGAGGAGAAGGGCAGTGGGCAGGGTCTGCAGTGGCTTTAGAGCAGGGATCAGCACTGAAGCCCTGGTTAGAGCCATGTCCCCCCCTGGAGCAGGGGACCGGCATCCGCTGGGCCGGGATGGTGCGAGGCAGAGGGCAGGGATTTCTGAGGGCTCCCACGAGAGCTCCATGAACCAGGGGCAGAGGGGAACAAATCACACTTGAACCAGGAACAACCACGGCCATCGCAGGGCGTTCCCTTTGCTGAGCACCAGAGTCAGGCCGGGCGAGCGCCGGCATCGAGGAACAAGGTTGGTGCTGAGGATTCCCAGCGTTAATGCTCAGGGTTCCCAATGTTAATGCTCAGGATTCCCAATGTTAATGCTCAGGATTCCCAATGTTAATGCTCAGGATTCCCAATGTTAATGCTCAGGATTCCCAAGGTTAATGCTCAGGATTCCCAATGTTAATGCTGAGCATTCCCAGCGTTAATGCTGAGGGTTCCCAATGTTAATGCTGAGGATTCCCAAGGTTAATGCTCAGGATTCCCAATGTTAATGCTCAGGATTCCCAACGTTAATGCTCTGATTCCCAAGGTTAATGCTCTGATTCCCAATGTTAATGCTCAGGATTCCCAATGTTAATGCTGAGGATTCCCAATGTTAATGCTGTGGATTCCCAACGTTAATGCTCTGATTCCTAATGTTAATGCTGAGGATTCCGAATGTTAATGCTGAGGATTCCCAACGTTAATGCTCTGATTCCCAATGTTAATGCTCTGATTCCCAGTGTTAATGCTGAGGATTCCCAACGTTAATGCTCTGATTCCCAGTGTTAATGCTGAGGATTCCCAACGTTAATGCTCTGATTCCCAATGTTAATGCTGCAGATTCCCAACGTTAATGCTCTGATTCCCAGTGTTAATGCTCTGATTCCCAATGTTAATGCTGAGGATTCCCAGTGTTAATGCTGTGGATTCCCAGTGTTAATGCTGTGGATTCCCAACGTTAATGCTGATTCCCAGTGTTAATGCTGAGGATTCCCAATGTTAATGCTCTGATTCCCAGTGTTAATGCTGCGGATTCCCAACGTTAATGCTCAGGATTCCCAGTGTTAATGCTGCGGATTCCCAACGTTAATGCTCTGATTCCCATCTTCCCACCCCTGTGGAAGCTGCTTCAGCCCCGCTCTGAACCGGGAGGGAAACCCCACGCAGATGCAGTGGGATCGGAGCTGCAGCTCCAGGCAGGAGATGGGCTCAGGGGTGATGTCCCCGTGTCCATGCCCGGCGGCGGCACCAGCAGCAGCCTTCAACCAGCACCCACACGGTGCCTTTGGAACATCCTAGCTTAGCTCTGGCGTCGCTCCCGCGCGGCAGCAGGGATCCCCTGGAGCTCCGGCGTTCCCAGTGCGTGGATGGAGGCGCGGAGGGCGCTGGGCAGGGGATGCTGCAGCCCAGCACCGGTCTCTGGCCCCACAGCAGCGCGAGCACGGGCGCTCAGCAAAGCAAGCGGCCAAGCCTCAGTGTTCCAGCCCCACTCATCCCAGTGGGAATTCCCTCACCCCCCCTCCATCCCCTGTGCAAACTGCACATACGTTTGTCTCCGTTCACACAGTAAACCATAGGCACACACTGGCTCTGATGGCTACTCGCTGCGCAGGGGCACCGGGGCTACTTAGGGGAGTGGGAAGGCGACTCCTCGCTGAGCAGGGTCCGGGTGACGCTTACCCTTGTCCCGCAGGCCAGGAAGGAGGCTCCCAGCGCGACCAGGCACAGCCAGCTCTGCAAGGCAATGGGGGCTGGGGTCAGGGGCTGCGGAGCCCATGGGACCGGGTGCTGCTGTGTGCTCTATGGGTGCTCGGGTGTCACCTGCAGCTGCAGGGAGCTGAGCGCGGGGCTTGGTGCCTCGGAGGGATCAACTCATGGGAACCTCCGGGAGCTCAACCAGGCCAAGGGCAAGGTCCTGCCCCTGGGAAGGGGCGATCCCAGCACAGAGCCAGGCTGGGGGGGACCGGATGGAGCAGCCTGAGGAGAGGGGCTTGGGGTCCCCCCATGAGGCTTGAGCCCAGAACCCCCCCAGTGCGGGGCTGCACCCCCAGAGCGGGAGCAGCAGCTCCGGGAGGGGATCCTGCCCCTCTGCTGTGGGAAGGGGGGACCTGAGAGCAGCTCCAGAGCCTGAAGGGGCTGCAGGGAACCTGGAGAGGGGCTGGGACAGGGGATGCAGGGACAGGGCAAGGGGAATGGCTTGAACCTGCCCGAGGGGAGCCTGAGCTGAGCTCTGAGGCAGAAGCTCTTCCCTGTGAGGGTGCTGAGGCGCTGGCACAGGGTGCCCAGAGAAGCTGGGGCTGCCCCATCCCTGGCAGTGCTCAAGGCCAGGTTGGACACAGGGGCTTGGAGCACCCTGCAACAGTGGAAGGGGTCCCTGGAGCTGGAGGAGCTTTCAGGTCCCTTCAGTACAAACCAGGCTGGGATTCTCTGGTCATTGCATCATTTTACACCTCTGGCAGCACACAGATGCTCCAGGGTCTGTGCCAACCTTTCACCTGCTGCAGCACTGAACTGAGGCCCTTTTGGGAACAGAGAGCAGAGGAACAGCTGAGGAGGTGGAAAAGGCTGCAGCAGCACTCAGCGCATTCCCAAGCAAAAGCCTCAACCTCCCCATTTGCTCTGACCCCGCCGTCGTGAAGGGGACACGGAACAGACCAGTGGGAAAAGCCCCCCATGGGCTGCTCCCAGCTCCAGGGAGCCCCAGCTGGAGCCCCACTCACCAGATAGGCCACAAAGGACAGGTACATCACACTGAGCACGGCAGCCCCCACGTACAGAGCCACGTGGTTGAGGGACATGACGTAGGCCACCACGAAGTACATGTTGATGCTGCAGATGAGGAGGATCAGGATCCCCCCCCCGATCCTCCAGAACCTGTGAGCAACACCAGGGCACAAAGGGGTCAGCTGGGGCTGGAGATGCTGCAGGGCATGGGGTGAAGAGAGGAAGGGAACGGGGAACGTGTGGCCGGGGCAGCAACGGGACCCTCGGTACTTACAGGCCATTGGCGAAGTCGTTCATGACGCTGGGCAGGCTGGTGAAGGTGAGGACTGGGATGAGGGCGAAGGGAAGCTGGAAGAGAAGAACAAAGAGCCCAGATGTGCCAGCACTTCCCGTGCTATTGTGAGGGACACAAAGGGACTTCCCCTGCCTAAAGGAGGAAGCAATTTCTGACCCTGGCTGAGCCTCCCGCCTGCCCCAGGGGATCAGCTCCTGAGAGCAGTTCCTGCTGCTTGCCTAACCCTAACCCTAACCCTAACCCTAACCCTAACCCTAACCCTAACCCTACTAACCCTAACCCTAACCCTAACCCTAACCCTAACCCTAACCCTACTAACCCTAACCCTAACCCTAACCCTAACCCTAACCCTAACCCAAACCCTAACCCTAACCCTAACCCCGCCTGCCCCAGGGGATCAGCTCCTGAGAGCAGTTCCTGCTGCTTGCCTAACCCTAACCCTAACCCTAACCCTAACCCTAACCCTAACCCTAACCCTAACCCTAACCCTAACCCTAACCCTAGCCCTAACCCTAACCCTAACCCTAACCCTAACCCTAACCCTAAACCTAACCATAACCCTAAAACTAATCCTAACCCAGCTCCTCCTGCTCTACCCAACCCAACCCACCCACCACCCACCAACCCAACAACACCCACCCACCCTAACCCTAGCCCTAACCCTAACCCTAACCCTGACCCTAGCCCTAACCCTAACCCTAACCCTAACCCTAGCCCTAAACCTAATCCTAACCCTAACCCTAACCCTTGCCTAAGACTAACCCTAACCCTAACCCTAACCCTAACCCTAACCCTAACCCTAACCCTAACCCTACCCCCTAACCCAACCCAAACCCTAACCCTAACCCTAACCCTAACCCTAACCCTAAACCTAACCCTAACCTTAACCCTAGCCCTAACCCTAACCCTAACCCTAATGTTAGCCACCTCCCAGGACATGACGCTTATATCACCAGCATTAACTGAGAAAGTTCTGGAAGGAGAAATATTGTTGCTCTGCCAGATCTGGCTCGGCATGACTTTTACAGCACTAATGCCCTAGAGATCTAGCCATCTGCCATCCCGGAATGCTAACCCTAACTCTACCCTAACTAAGGCAGTCCTCTTGGCTTGAGGCCACCATGCCCAGCATCAAGGTTCGCCCACTTGGAGAAGTTCTGCAACAAGTAATGGTGCTGGGAAGCTGTTCTCTTGCCATGACTCTTACAGCAGCAGTGCTGCAGCTCTCAGTGCCGGAGCCAGGGAACCATGGAGCCATGGAGCGGGTTAGGTTGGAAGGGAGCTTAAAGCTCCTCCAGCTCCAATCCCAACCCCTTCCACTGGAGCAGGGTGCTCCAAGCCCCTGTGTCCAACCTGGCCTTGAGCACTGCCAGGGATGGGGCAGCCCCAGCTTCTCTGGGCACCCTGTGCCAGCGCCTCAGCACCCTCACAGGGAAGAGCTTCTGCCTCAGAGCTCAGCTCAGTCTCCCCTCGGGCAGGTTCAAGCCATTCCCCTTGCCCTGTCCCTGCATCCCTTGTCCCAGCCCCTCTCCAGGTTCCCTGCAGCCCCTTTAGGCACTGGAGCTGCTCTGAGGTCTCCCCTTCAGGAGCCTTCTCTTCTCCAGGCTGCCCCAGCCCAGCTCTCTCAGCCTGGCTCCAGAGCAGAGCTGCTCCAGCCCTCGCAGCATCCCCACGTCCCCCTTGTGCTGCTGCCCCAGAGCTGGATCAGGGCTGCAGGGGGGGGTCTCCCCAGCGCACAGCAGAGGGGCAGGATCCCCTCCCTGGGCTGCTGCCGCTCACCTGGAGGCTCATGAGCACGTTCAGGAAGTCGTTCATGCCCGTCAGGTGCTCCACGTCCTGGAAGATGGCCACCAGGAGCGTGGGGGTGATGGCGATGGAGCGCGTGAGCAGCACCCGCGCAAAGCGGGACCAGCGCAGGTTCAGGAAGCCCTGCAGGGACCAGAGCAGGGTGAGCAGGGAGGAGGCACCCGAGGAGCGGGGCTGGGGCCGGGTTCGGGCAGGTCTGGGTGAAAAGGGGGTTTTATGGAGGGGTCCATGGATGGGGGATCCATGGCTGAGGGGGAAGGGAAGGGAGGCGGTGCCGGTGCCGGTACCTCCATAACAAACTGCCCCGAGTACGTCCCGGTCATGGTGGAGCTCTGCCCGGCAGCCAGGATCCCGATGGCCCAGATGTAGAGAGCAGCAGGGCCGAAATAACAGCCCAGAACGGCACCCTGGGGAGAGGGGAGGAGAGGGGAGGAGGGGGCTCCCACGGAGGGTGCGAGCGGGGGAACCCCCTGGTGCCCACAGTAACCCCAGAGGAGCTGAGCTGGAGGAGAGGAATCCGTTTGTAGGACAGGGGAGAGCGTTCCCTGCCTTGGGAAGCAGAGAAGGAGCCTCGGGGGCTGCAGTTTGAACAGAGCGGGCTCGGGATGGATGGGAGGAAAGGCTTTGTCATGGCCCAGCTCATAGAATAGGGAGCAAGGAGCGGGGTTGGATGGGTACCATCAGCAATGGGTGATGATTGTGCCTGCCCCAGGGGATGGGCACAGCGTCCCCAGGGCCTGCTCCAGCTCCTGGCCCTCAGCACCCCCTGTTCACCCAAAGGGACCTGGAGCTGCTGGAGTGAGGCCAGAGGAGGCCCTGGGGATGCTGCGAGGGCTGGAGCAGCTCTGCTCTGGAGCCAGGCTGAGAGAGCTGGGCTGGGGCAGCCTGGAGAAGAGAAGGCTCCTGAAGGGGAGACCTGAGAGCAGCTCCAGTGCCTAAAGGGGTGCAGGGAACCTGGAGAGGGGCTGGGACAGGGGATGGAGGGGTGGGATGAGGGGTTTGGGCTTGCAGCTGGAAGAGGGAAGAGTTCAATGGGATATGGGGAAGTTCTGCCCCATGAGGGTGTTGGGATGCTGGAATGGAGGAGCTGTGGCTGCCCCATCCCTGGCAGTGCTCAAGGCCAGGTCGGACACAGGGGCTTGGAGCACCCTGGCCAGTGGAAGGGGTTGGAGCCGGAGGAGCTTTAAGGTCCCTTCCAACCCAACCCATGCTGGGATTCCAAAGGGAGCAGATGGTACCGGACAGGGAGGGGCCGTGGGTCACTCACCCCTTTGTAGATGTCCACCTCCAGCGTCTGGTTGTTATTGGGGAAGAGAGAGGAGTGGGGGCTGCTGGCGTTGACGCAGACGGCGTTCTGCAGTGAGCAACAGGGGACAGGGCTGGGGTGTGCTCAGGGGCAAACACCGGGACACAGAAACAGCCAAAACCCCTGATCTTACCCCGCTCACACACAGAACCGATGGGCTCGGCCTACCCAGGGGCAGGTGGGGCTGGGAGCTGCCCTTCTGCTCACATCACCCCTGGCTCTGCTCACATCACCCCTGCTTCTGCTCACATCACCCCTGGCTCTGCTCACATCACCCCTGCCTCTGCTCACATCACCCCTGCCTCTGCTCACATCACCCCTGCCTCTGCTCACATCACCCCTGGTTCTGCTCACATCACCCCTGGCTCTGCTCCCATCACCCCTGGCTCTGCTCACATCACCCCTGCCTCTGCTCACATCACCCCTGGTTCTGCTCACATCACCCCTGGTTCTGCTCACATCACCCCTGCCTCTGCTCACATCACCCCTGCCTCTGCTCACATCACCCCTGCCTCTGCTCACATCACCCCTGCCTCTGCTCACATCACCCCTGCCTCTGCTCACATCACCCCTGGTTCTGCTCACATCACCCCTGGTTCTGCTCACATCACCCCTGCCTCTGCTCACATCACCCCTGCCTCTGCTCACATCACCCCTGCCTCTGCTCACATCACCCCTGGTTCTGGCTCCCATCACCCCTGCCTCTGCTCACATCACCCCTGGTTCTGCTCACATCACCCCTGGTTCCGCTCACATCACCCCTGGTTCCGCTCACATCACCCCTGGTTCTGCTCACATCACCCCTGGTTCCGCTCCCATCACCCCTGGTTCTGCTCACATCACCCCTGGTTCCGCTCCCATCACCCCTGGTTCTGCTCACATCACCCCTGCCTCTGCTCACATCACCCCTGGTTCTGCTCCCATCACCCCTGCCTCTGCTCACATCACCCCTGGTTCTGCTCACATCACCCCTGGTTCCGCTCACATCACCCCTGGTTCCGCTCACATCACCCCTGGTTCTGCTCCCATCACCCCTGGTTCCGCTCCCATCACCCCTGGTTCTGCTCACATCACCCCTGCCTCTGCTCACATCACCCCTGGTTCCGCTCCCATCACCCCTGGTTCTGCTCACATCACCCCTGGTTCCGCTCCCATCACCCCTGCCTCTGCTCACATCACCCCTGGCTCTGCTCACATCACCCCTGCCTCTGCTCACATCACCCCTGCCTCTGCTCACATCACCCCTGGTTCTGCTCACATCACCCCTGCCTCTGCTCACATCACCCCTGGTTCTGCTCACATCACCCCTGGTTCTGCTCACATCACCCCTGCCTCTGCTCACATCACCCCTGCCTCTGCTCACATCACCCCTGGTTCTGCTCACATCACCCCTGCCTCTGCTCACATCACCCCTGGTTCTGCTCACATCACCCCTGGTTCTGCTCACATCACCCCTGGTTCTGCTCACATCACCCCTGGTTCTGCTCACATCACCCCTGCCTCTGCTCACATCACCCCTGCCTCTGCTCACATCACCCCTGCCTCTGCTCACATCACCCCTGCCTCTGCTCACATCACCCCTGGTTCTGCTCACATCACCCCTGCCTCTGCTCACATCACCCCTGCCTCTGCTCACATCACCCCTGGTTCTGCTCACATCACCCCTGCCTCTGCTCACATCACCCCTGCTTCTGCTCACATCACCCCTGGTTCTGCTCACATCACCCCTGCCTCTGCTCACATCACCCCTGCCTCTGCTCCCATCACCCCTGGTTCTGCTCACATCCCCCCTGCCTCTGCTCACATCACCCCTGGCTCTGCTCACATCACCCCTGGCTCTGCTCCCATCACCCCTGGTTCTGCTCACATCACCCCTGCCTCTGCTCACATCACCCCTGCCTCTGCTCACATCACCCCTGGTTCTGCTCCCATCACCCCTGCCTCTGCTCACATCACCCCTGCCTCTGCTCACATCACCCCTGGTTCTGCTCCCATCACCCCTGCCTCTGCTCACATCACCCCTGCCTCTGCTCACATCACCCCTGGCTCTGCTCCCATCACCCCTGGTTCTGCTCACATCACCCCTGCCTCTGCTCACATCACCCCTGCCTCTGCTCACATCACCCCTGGTTCTGCTCACATCACCCCTGGTTCTGCTCACATCACCCCTGGTTCTGCTCACATCACCCCTGGTTCTGCTCACATCACCCCTGCCTCTGCTCACATCACCCCTGCCTCTGCTCACATCACCCCTGCCTCTGCTCACATCACCCCTGGTTCTGCTCACATCACCCCTGCCTCTGCTCACATCACCCCTGCCTCTGCTCACATCACCCCTGGTTCTGCTCACATCACCCCTGCCTCTGCTCACATCACCCCTGCCTCTGCTCACATCACCCCTGCCTCTGCTCACATCACCCCTGCCTCTGCTCACATCACCCCTGCCTCTGCTCACATCACCCCTGCCTCTGCTCACATCACCCCTGGTTCTGCTCCCATCACCCCTGGGTCTGCTCCAAGAGCCCAGGGTTTGGTCCCCAGCCCCATCTCACCACGTCCGCGTTGTTCTTCTCAAAGAAAGCCTCGGCGAAGACGGTCACCACGAAGATGTTGATGATGAAGGAGACAAAGAGCGCGATGCAGGACTCGATGAAGAAATACTTGTTGGCTTCTCGCACCTCCCTCTTGTTAGCACGGTTCACTTGCCGGGACTGCAGAGGAGATGATGGCAACGGGAGCCTTGGGCATCATGGAACCATGGATGGGTTGGAGAGATCCTCCAGTTCCAACCCTGCCACGGGCAGGGACCCCTTCCACTGGAGCAGGGGGCTCCAAGCCCCTGTGTCCAACCTGGCCTTGAGCACTGCCAGGGATGGGGCAGCCCCAGCTTCTCTGGGCACCCTGTGCCAGCGCCTCAGCACCCTCACAGGGAAGAGCTTCTGCCTCAGAGCTCAGCTCAGGCTCCCCTCGGGCAGGTTCAAGCCATTCCCCTTGCCCTGTCCCTGCATCCCTTGTCCCAAGCCCCTCTCCAGGTTCCCTGCAGCCCCTTCAGGCTCTGGAGCTGCTCTCAGGTCTCCCCTTCAGGAGCCTTCTCTTCTCCAGGCTGCCCCAGCCCAGCTCTCTCAGCCTGGCTCCAGAGCAGAGCTGCTCCAGCCCTCGCAGCATCCCCATGGCCTCCCCTGGCCTCGCTCCAGCAGATGTGTGATTTATACCAGCTATATTACTGATAGCACAGGTATGTCACCTGTATCTGTCCTTATCCCACACTAACATACCAGGACAGGGGTCACTGGGTGGGAAGGGAGCTCACTGGAGGGAGGAAACAGCAAACCCCAACCTCTGGAGGGAGGACCTGGGCACAAGGGTCCCAAAGCTCCCCCTGTGCTGGGGCTCAAGCAGCTCCAACAGGGACTCCCTGTGTCCCCACAGACACTTCCTGCCCTGCCCAGCTCAGCACTCACCTTGACCAGTGCCGAGTGCAGGTACATGTTGTGGGGCATGATGACAGCCCCCACGATGCCCACGGCCTGCTCCAGCTGCGGCGTTCCACAGTTCTGGCAGTAGGGGACAAAGAGCCCCTGGAGCAGCTTCTGCTGGTTGGGTCTCACTGTGATGTACTGGGCACGAGACCAGAGAGGTGAGGGGTGAGTGCGGGGCTTTGGGTGCCCCTCTGACCATGCCCCCCCCCATGGTAAACCTGGGACCCCAATGTGGCGCCTGCTCAGTGATGAGCCGAGCACCAGGAGTGGTCCCCACGCTGCAGGAGCAGCCCTCACACAGAGCAGGGCACGGGCACGCATCAGAAACACAGCCCCGGCTTCAAAGGTCCTGGATTTTCAGGGTCTGTGCGGGGTTTTGGGGTGTTTGGGCCCAGGAGTTGGGGTGGGATCCACACAAAGCACACAGGGTGAAGGTACCTCGTATCCGAACGTGAGAGCCATGATGGTGATGAGGAAGCCAAAGAACGCCTCCAGCTTCCGCAGGCCTGTGGGGAGACACAGGCTCCATCAGCAAACTGGGAGCAGCTGCATCTTGGGCTGGGATGCCCCAGTTTAGGGGGAGACAGGGAAATCACCGTATTTGTCCAGGAAGAGGAAGACGAAGGTGTCAGCGATGGTGATGAGCACTCCACCCCACAGCGGGATCCTGCGGGGGACACAGCACCCAGCTTAGCAGCCACTGCCACCTCCTTGCTCCCTGCTGGGGATGCACTCCAGCCCCCCTGACCATGGAGGGACATCGGCCTGGAGGCTCCTTAGGAAGGGCCTAAGGCCAGGAGTGTGGTCCAGGCTGCTCTCTGCAGCCACAGGGAGAAGCAGCAGGCACCAAAGGCCAAGACATCCAAGAGCCTCCAGCATGGAGCTGAACCACCCGCATCAATCATAGAATCATAGAATGGTTCGGGGTGGAAAGGAGCTGAAGCTCATCCAGTTCCAACCCCTTCCATGGGCAGGGACACCTCGCTCTAAACCATCTCACCCAAGGCCTCGTCCAACCTGGCCTTGAACACTGCCAGGGATGGAGCATTCACAGCCTCCCTGGGCACCCATTCCAGTGCCTCACTGCCCTCACAGGGAAGAATTCCCTCCTTAGATCCCATCTAAACTTGCCCCGTTTCAGTTTGAACCCATTACCCCTTGTCCTATCACTACAGTCCCTAATGAAGAGTCCATCCCCAGCATCCCTATATCCCCCCTTCAGATACTGGAAGGCTGCTCTGAGGTCTATTAAGGCTTAGGGGAAGTCAATGAGTGGGGTTTGGCACACGCAGTGTCCCCAGTCCCAGAGGGGAGCACTCATCCCCTGCTGCCCTGCGCCAGGCCCCACTCACTTGCCCATAGACAGGAGGTTGATGGCAATCGCTGAGCCGATGACCTCCTGCATGTCGGAGCCGATGATGGCCAGTTCAACCATGAGCCAGAGGATAATCCGAGGCACCTGGGGGGAACAACCATCCCACAGCATTAAACAGAGGGAGAATGTCTGCAGTCAGGAGCTGCCTCCATTCCCTGCTGCTGGACCCTTGCTGCCTGGCGGGGAGCAGAACTGGTGACCCATGGCAGTCACTGCAGGAGGCTCCGGGGTCATTCACATGAGCTCAATGACTTCCCTCATTGCAGAGAGGAACTGGGTGTTGCTGTGCTCACACCATTGCCATGGTGATGCCAGTGACAAAGCCTCAGGTGCTGGATGAGGAACTCCAGTGCACGGAGCTGGGGACATCCCCGACTGCAGGGAATCAAGGACTCATGGAACGCTTTGGGTTGAAGGGACCTTAAGATCCAGTCCACCCGTTCCCAGCAGTGCCAAGGCCACCCCTAACCCATGGCACTGAGGCCTCGTCTCCATGGGTGCCTGCAGCCCTGCCCTGGGCAGCCTGTTCCAATGCTGAGCACCCTCTGGGGCAGGAATTGTTCCTCAGCTCCATCTAACCCTGCCCTGGTGCAGCTTGAGGCCGGTTCCTCTTGTCCCATCCCTTGGTCCTTGGGAGCAGAGCCCAGCCCCTCCTGGCTCCATCCTCCTGTCAGGCACCTGGAGGCAGCCATCAGGTCCCCCCTGAGCCTTCTCTTCTCCATCTGAACCCCCCAGGTCCCTCAGGTCCCCATCACCCCTGTGCTCCAGGCCCTGCTCCAGCCCCATTGCCCTGCTCTGGCCCCGCTCCAGCCCCTCAATGTCCCTCTTGCAGTGAGAGCTGAGCACAGGATTTGAGGTTCAGCCTCACCAGTGCCCAGTGCAGGGGCACAATCCCTGCCCTGGCCCTGCTGCTGCACTGGTGCTGAGCCAGGCCAGGATGCTGGGGGCTGCCTGGGCACAAGCTGCTCACGCTGCGGCCCCAGGTGATGATGATGATGATGATGATGATGATGATGATGATGTGATGATGCCAGGCTCTGGAACGCTCCCTCCCAAGGAGGATTTGGCACCTCCTGAGCAGCACGGACCCCCTGTGAGTCCCATCCAGCCCCAGCAGGACCCCAGCAGGACCCCAGCAGGGGGCTCTCCCCACTGGGAGCAGGGGGGCACCCACCTTGTGGTACTGCCGGTTGCAGACCTCGGCGAGGTGCAGCCCGGTCACCACTCCGAGCCGAGCCGCCAGGCGCTGCAGGAGCAGCCCGATCAGCGTCGCCAGCATCAGCACCCACAGGAGCTGAGGGAGACACAGAGGGGGGGTGAGTGTGATGGGTCCCTGGGCCCCAAGCACACCCATAGGAGTCAGAGACCACCCGAAAGACACTCATTGATGCTCAGAGGGTGTTTGATACGGACCTGGAGCTGCCACAGCGAGGATATAAATGCACCTAGAGCAGGAGTCGCTGCCAGAGGGCACAGCACGGGATCATGGAATGGTTTGGGTTGAAGGGAGCTTAAAGCTCACCCAGCTCCAAGCCCTGACCCCTTCCACTGGAGCAGGGTGCTCCAAGCCCCTGTGTCCAACCTGGCCTTGAGCACTGCCAGGGATGGGGCAGCCCCAGCTTCTCTGGGCACCCTGTGCCAGCGCCTCAGCACCCTCACAGGGAAGAGCTTCTGCCTCAGAGCTCAGCTCAGGCTCCCCTCGGGCAGGTTCAAGCCATTCCCCTTGCCCTGTCCCTGCATCCCTTGTCCCAGCCCCTCTCCAGGTTCCCTGCAGCCCCTTTAGGCACTGGAGCTGCTCTCAGGTCTCCCCTTCAGGAGCCTTCTCTTCTCCAGGCTGCCCCAGCCCAGCTCTCTCAGCCTGGCTCCAGAGCAGAGCTGCTCCAGCCCTCGCAGCATCCCCATGGCCTCCTCTCGCCTCTCTCCTGCAGCTCAAGGGCTCCAGAACCTCCCTTTCCCCTTCTCCTGGCTGCTTTCAGCCCAGGCCCACAGCACCCTTAGCCATAAACCCCACAGGGTTACACGGTCGCCTGCAGCACCCACCTTAAACCCTGCGACAGCCCCGGACTGTAAATCGGACTCGATGTTCCCTGGATCCAGGTAGGCAATGCTCATGAGGAACCCCGGCCCCGTGAAAGCCCAGAGCTTGCGGAAGCTGAAGCAGGATTGCTGTGGGGAGAGGATGGACACAGCACAAGTGAGCCCCGGAGCCAGCCGTGGCCATGAGGACTGGCAAGAGATGCCCCAAGGCTTGGATCTCATTTCCTGGTGAGACCAAGGCTGTTCTCTAATCCCACCCTGAGCTCGGCAGCAGCCTCTGCTCCTGTCTAAAGCAGAGCTCAGGACTGAGTTGAGGAGCAGGCTGTGGGGCAGCCGGGTGGGAGATGACTCCCCCTGTGCCTGCAGCCTCCTCCTTGCTTAATCAGGAGCCAAGAGGGCACCTGAGAGGGGACTGAGCTGCTCCAAAGGTCACTGTGGCTCCCTTCCCCTGATAAGGGAACAAAGAACCAGGGTCCCCTCCCCTGGGGCTGCACAAAGACTCCTTCAGCTCTTCAGCAGATCCTGCTGCTCCGGGCTTCCCAGAGGCCCAATCCCATGGGGTCAACCATGAACTGTGCAGCAAGGAGCTCCCTCTCCCTCTTCTCCCCAGATCTCCATCCCGCAGCCAGGCTCCCCTTCCCAGAGCAGGCAAGAAGGGAACCAGCACGCAGGGCTCAGGGGTTTCCTGGCTGGATCTCCCCGTTGGAGCAGATGGAGCTCACTCACCTTCTCGTCCTCGGGGATGGGGATCTTGCTGTCGAAGTAGGTGGTGAAAGGCTCCTCAGAGGAAGCATCCGGTGGCTGCAGCGGGTTCATGCTGCTGGAAACGGTGCTGACGACTCCGCCGGGCTCCCCGGAGGCATCTTCTGCAAGGGGAGAAGGGGACAGGGGAGCAGGAATGAGCCAGGATCCCTGGCAACACAGAACGAGCGGGCAGGAGCCGCAGCAGAGCGGGAGGAACCTGAGCTGCCCTCACAGAGGGCATCAGCTGGGGAAGAGCCCTGCTGCTGTGGGACCCTGGGTTCACACAGGGACCTCAGAGCAGGGCTCTGCTCTGGGAGCAAGCGATGGTCAGGACACTGCTGGGCACAAGGGGCAGCCCTGCTGGGTTCTAACCGGGGCCACCACAGAGCCCGTTATGCCCGCAGGAGATGTGCTGAGGCTGGGAGCAAGGCCCCGTTCCCCTGCCCACCTGGAGGCAATACTCACTGCTGCTCTCCCTCCGTGCCATCCTGCTCCAGAGCTGGGGCCCGGAGCTGTGTCCCCGAGCCCAGCTCAGGGGGAGGATGCTGGGACCCAAGGGCAGCTTTTCCCCTATTGCAACACTGCAGTAAACTGAAGGGGAAGGCTCCTCCTTTTCCCTGCCTCCCAAATCCCTCCCCTGGCTCCTGCCCTCCCATTTCCATAAGGGTTTAGAGCCGGAGAGGGATCCGGCTGCACTGGCCGGGCTGGTTCAGGGCTGCTGCAGCTCACCCAGGGAGGTGGAACGAGCCCCAAGGCACCCAATCTCCTGCTGGAGAGGCTTTGTGCCCACTGGGATCATGGAGCGGGCGGGTGGCACCGGGCACCCCGAGACCTTGGGGTGGGATGGGATGGAATGGAAGCACATCCCAGGCTGCACCCCCAGAGCGGGAGCAGCAGCTCCGGGAGGGGATCCTGCCCCTCTGCTGCGGGAAGGGGGGACCTGGGAGCAGCTCCAGAGCCTGGAGGGGCTGCAGGGAACCTGGAGAGGGGCTGGGACAGGGGATGCAGGGACAGGGCAAGGGGAATGGCTTGAACCTGCCCGAGGGGAGCCTGAGCTGAGCTCTGGGGCAGAAGGTGTGCGTGTGAGCAGAGATGCTCTGCCATGGGCAGCCATACCGTACCATAGGAAGCCTTCTGGTCCGTGTCGGGGTTCCCCATGGTTGAACCCTTTTGGTGGCCCGGATCCTGCTTTAGATCGGCCACGCTGGCTGCAGGGAGAGGGGGAAACATCATCAGGAAGGAGAATAAAAGGTTGCAAGAGAGGCACCAGCCCCGGCACCACAGGGACCTCCCCAGCCCCTTTCCAGCTCCCAAGCTTGGGAGGGGGGGATTTAGCCTGGGATCTGCCTGGAAACTCAAACAAGAAGGGGGGGGAGCCCCGTCCCTCTTGTGAAACTGCAGCTGAGGAAACAAAGCCTGGAATTTCCTCCATGTGCCAATGGCCCATTGCAGCCCTCCCCTTCCAGGCAGGGGACACCGCACCCAGCACCCGGCTCAAGCGTCCCTAAGGGCCCCGTGGAGCTCTTTCATCACGGGGCAGTTTCCTGCCCACGCAGGGATGTGGAGCAGGGCTTGGGATGAAGCCCTGGAGGATGCCACCCCCCAGCCCCACCAGGACAAGTCAAAGTCCCAGCACCCTCTGCTTAGGAGGCCACATTGGCCCAGTGAAGGCACCCAAGGCCAGCACCAGGCAGGAACCCATCTGAAGGGATGCGAACCCGGTTTGGGTCTCCCAAGACCCCACAACCAGCTCCAAGGAGCTCTGTAAGCAGCCAAGCACCCTGGGCTCAGCCCCAGCGTCACTGCAGGCAGGGCTCGCGTGGTCCCCAGCTCTCCAAACAGGCTCAGGGTTAAATCAAGCCCAGCGTGGATGAGGAGCATCCCCCAGGGCACCTCTCAGGCCCAGTGAAGAGGAGTTGGCTCATTCCACCCTATCCCAAAGGATTCCAAGGGTTTGCTTGGGAATTCCCTCGGGTCACACGGATTGAGGTGACCAAAGCCCCACATTCCCCATCCCGGGTTTCTGTGCTCCACAGGTGAGGGGCAGCCCCTGTGGTCTTTAAGGTCCCTCCCAGCCCAAGGGGGCCTATAGGGATGCTGGGGATGGACTCTTCATTAGGGACTGTAGTGACAGGACAAGGGGTAATGGGTTAAAACTGAAACAGGGGAAGTTTAGATTGGATCTAAGGAGGGAATTCTTTCCTGTGAGGGTGCTGAGGCACTGGAATGGGTGCCCAGGGAGGTTGTGAATGCTCCATCCCTGGCAGTGTTCAAGGCCAGGTTGGAAGAGCCTTGGGTGAGATGGTTTAGAGCGAGGTGTCCCTGCCCATGGCAGGGGGGTGGAACTGGATGATCTCAAGGTCCTTTCCAACCCGAACCATTCCATGATTCTATGATCCCACGAATCCCCTGCTCAGGACAGGAGGGGACAGGCACCACCCCACAGCAGCTCCCGCTGGGTCAAGGGCAGCCCCAAAGCTTGCGGGTCCCCCCCCAAGGGTCTCTCATTACCCCCCCATGTCCAGCCATGAACCCCCCTGTCCCCCCCAACCCCATCAGCAGGAGCAGCGCTTACCGGGGCTGAGTCCCACGGAGCCCTCCCCATGACTGAAGGCAAAGGGGAAGCTCTCAGGGAGCACCGTTACTGAGGCACCCAGATGGGTGCTGCCCACTCATCCCCATGGGGTGGAGCAGGGCTGGCTCCCCTATCTGCAGAGACAGCTCCCCCCGGGCCTGCAGGGCGGGGATCCCCCCATGCAGGGCTCCAGGGACACCGGGGGGATGTCCCCATGCAGGGCTCCATGGACCCCCCCATGCAGGGCTCTGGGGACACTGGGGGGATGTCCCCATGCAGGGCTCCATGGACCCCCCCATGCAGGGCTCTGGGGACACTGGGGGGATGTCCCCATGCAGGGCTCCATGGATCCCCCCATGCACAGCTTTGGGGATGTCCCCATGCAGGGCTCCATGGATCCCCCCATGCACAGCTTTGGGGATGCCCCCATGCAGGGCTCCATGGACCCCCCCATGCAGGGCTGTAGGGACTCCCCTATGCAGGGCCCTGGGGGGATGTCCCCATGCAGGGCTCCATGGACCCCCCCATGCACAGCTTTGGGGATGCCCCCATGCAGGGCTCTGGGGGGGATGTCCCCATGCAGGGCTCCATGGACCCCCCCATGCAGGGCTGTAGGGACTCCCCTATGCAGGGCCCTGGGGGGATGTCCCCATGCAGGGCTCCATGGACCCCCCCATGCACAGCTTTGGGGATGCCCCCATGCAGGGCTCTGGGGGGGATATCCCCATGCAGGGCTCCAGGGACCCCCCCATGCAAGGCTCTGGGGGGGATGTCCCCATGCAGGGCTCCAGGGACCCCCCCATGCACAGCTTTGGGGATGCCCCCCATGCAGGGCTGTAGGGACTCCCCTATGCAGGGCCCTGGGGGGATGTCCCCATGCAGGGCTCCAGGGACCCCCCCATGCACAGCTTTGGGGATGCCCCCCATGCAGGGCTGTAGGGACTCCCCCATGCAGGGCCCTGGGGGGATGTCCCCATGCAGGGCTCCATGGACACCCCCATGCACAGCTTTGGGGACACCCCCATGCAGGGCTCCATGGACCCCCCCATGCACAGCTTTGGGGATGTCCCCATGCAGGGCTCCATGGACCCCCCCATGCACAGCTTTGGGGATGTCCCCATGCAGGGCTCCATGGACCCCCCCATGCACAGCTTTGGGGATGCCCCCATGCAGGGCTCCAGGGACCCCCCATGCAAGGCTCTGGGGGGATGTCCCCATGCAGGGCTCCATGGACCCCCCCCATGCACAGCTTTGGGGATGCCCCCATGCAGGGCTCCAGGAACCCCCCCCATGCTCTGCAGGGGCAAAGGGGAGGATAAAGGATCACAAAGGTTGGGATTTGTGGCTCCCCCTCCCTGTGTGAAGATCAGGCGATCCCTCAGGATCAGGACCTGCCCCCCCCCGCCGCTGCCTTCGCCTCCGTACCCGGTGTTCACGCTCAGGGCACATTCCCCGCAGGAGCATCCCTTGGGATAGGGCAGAAAGCCCCGCGCAGAGCACCAGGAGGTGACCGCCATAGGAAGGGCGCCGCTGCCCGGCCCTGCGCCCTCCCTTCCCATGGGGGAGCCCCGAGCCCGGGGCCCGCAGCTCTTTCCTGCCTCATGGCCACAAAGGCACCGAGGGAAGGAGGAGCCCGGGGCTCCTGCTCCTCCCCAGCGCTGATCCCACGCCAGGAGCGGTTCCTGCCATTGAGGTCCCTGCAGCTGAGGGGAGGCTTTGAACTCGGTGGGGTCCCGGGGTCCTTGGTGCTTGCAGCCTGGAGAAGGCTCCTGAAGGGGGGAGCTGAGAGCAGCTCCAGTGCCTAAAGGGGCTGCAGGGAACCTGGAGAGGGGCTTGGGACAGGGGATGCAGGGACAGGGCAAGGGGAATGGCTTGAACCTGCCCGAGGGGAGACTGAGCTGAGCTCTGAGGCAGAAGCTCTTCCCTGTGAGGGTGCTGAGGCGCTGGCACAGGGTGCCCAGAGAAGCTGGGGCTGCCCCATCCCTGGCAGTGCTCAAGGCCAGGTTGGACACAGGGGCTTGGAGCACCCTGCTCCAGTGGAAGGGGTCCCCGGACACCCTCGGGCTCCCCTCATCCCACCGCTCCCCACGGCCCCATCACTGAAGCAGGAGCCGGAGCCCTGGGGGTTGAAACCACGCCGGGAGCGCCCTGGGACCGCACCGGGGCCGCGTTCCCGAGCGGGGACTTTGCTCAGGGCTCCACGGCAGCACCGGCGCCCGCGGCACCCCCGGGGCTCCCCTCGCACCCAGGCCCCGTTTAAGCTCATCCATCAAGGCCCCCCCCGGACCGTGCCACCCCAAACCCGGGGAGGGGGGGGGGGCAGGCACAGAGCACGAGCGGCAGCCCCGTTCCCCGGGGGGGGTTGGACCGGGCCGGGAGCCCCCAGCGCTGCGGACACCCCAAGGTCACCGGAGGGCAGGGAGCCGGGCCCATGGGGGACCCTGAGGGACCGCAGCTCCACGGGACCCCCCCGGGGACCCCCAAACACACCGGATACCCGGGGAGTCCTCCCCCGAGCCACACAGAGACCCCCCCGGGGTCACTCCATGGAGGAATCCCCCCGGATCCCGCGGGATCCCCCAATGGAGCCCCCCCCCCCCGAATCCCGCGGGATCCCCAACGGAGCCCCCCCATCACGCACACCGGGCCCCGGCCGCACTCACCGGCCCCGCCCGGCCCCGCCGCCGCCTCATGCCGCTGCCCCGCGCTGCCGCCGCTCGGGCCCGCCTGGCGCCGCCCGCCCCGTGACGCGGCGCGGAGCGACCGGGGATGGCGACGGGGAGCGGGGCCCGGTGCTGGGGAACGGGGTCCCGGCAGCCCCCGATAGGGGAACGGGACCCCGGTGGTGGGGGGGGCATGGGCACCGGTAGTGGGAGATGCGGGTCCCGGTAGTGGGAGATGCGGGCACCGGTAGTGGGAGATGCGGGCACCGGTAGTGGGAGATGCGGGTCCCGGTAGTGGGAGATGCGGGCACCGGTAGTGGGAGATGCGGGCACCGGTAGTGGGAGATGCGGGTCCCGGTAGTGGGAGATGCGGGCACCGGTAGTGGGAGATGCGGGCACCGGTAGTGGGAGATGCGGGTCCCGGTAGTGGGAGATGCGGGCGCCGGTAGTGGGAGATGCGGGCACCGGTAGTGGGAGATGCGGGCACCGGTAGTGGGAGATGCGGGTCCCGGTAGTGGGAGATGCGGGCGCCGGTAGTGGGAGATGCGGGCACCGGTAGTGGGAGATGCGGGTCCCGGTAGTGGGAGATGCGGGCACCGGTAGTGGGAGATGCGGGCACCGGTAGTGGGAGATGCGGGTCCCGGTAGTGGGAGATGCGGGCGCCGGTAGTGGGAGATGCGGGCACCGGTAGTGGGAGATGCGGGCACCGGTAGTGGGAGATGCGGGTCCCGGTAGTGGGAGATGCGGGCACCGGTAGTGGGAGATGCGGGCACCGGTAGTGGGAGATGCGGGTCCCGGTAGTGGGAGATGCGGGCGCCGGTAGTGGGAGATGTGGGTCCCGGTAGTGGGAGATGCGGGTCCCGGTAGTGGGAGATGCGGGCGCCGGTAGTGGGAGATGTGGGTCCCGGTAGTGGGAGATGCGGGCGCCGGTAGTGGGAGATGTGGGTCCCGGTAGTGGGAGATGAGGGTCCCGGTAGTGGGAGATGCGGGCACCGGTAATGGGAGATGCGGGCACCACGATGGAAACCGGGACCCAGGGAGGGGGACAAGGCCCCAGGATGGGGTCAACGGAGCCCCGGTGCAGGGGGAGCGAGCCCCGGGGGGGGGGGGGGGTCACGGAGCCCTGGGGAGGGAGACACGGCCCGGGACAGGCCAGGCTCATTCCTGCTCCCGGGTTGTTCTTATCCTGCCCCATTCCATGGCTCAGTCGGGAGCAGGAAGCCCCCGGAGCTGAGGAATGATCCCTGTTGGTTATCCCATTGCAGCAGCACCTCAGGAATGCTCTGCGGGATGAGGCTTGCTTCGGCTTCTGGTTGGTTTCTGTCTGCTTCCTCCATAGGGAACGCTGCTGTTCCACAGAATTCCTCTTGCTCCGCACGCTCCCATTAAAACTCGGGGTAATTCGCCCTCCACGGAGCAGAGCTGCGGCACGGGGAAGGCAGCAACTCGCTGCCATCAACCAGAGCTTCCCCATTGCCACTGGACACAAACAGTGCCACAGGGAAGCGCTCCTGACACAACCAAATCCCGTGCCCACAGCACCAATGGGGCTTTGCCAACAGCTTTTAGGCTTGATGCTGGAAACCCGATTCCCCAGTATCCTACTGTTCCCAGACGCGGGTGCTTTGGGATGAGGGCGCTGCCTCCCCAGCAGCAGCGCTCCCGCTCCGTACTCACCCAGCTCCAGGCTGTACTTCTTGGGCATGGTGCTGCGGGCGGGCTGGTTTCGGGGAGCTCCGTCCCGCTCACTTAAATACGGGGCGTCCCCACCCTGGGGCAGCTCCGTACTCGGGGCACGACTCAAAGTCTCCCGAAAACAACCCCATCTCCTTCACCTTTATCGTTTGTCACGGAGCCATAAAGCGCCGGCAGCCAAACGGGGGGGTTCATGGCACAACCCCGGCCCCACGGCAGCGCCGGGGCTTGGGGGGAAAGGTGGGTTCTGAGCTGCCGGGCACGGAATCGACCCGCGCCTCGATGAAAAGGCGTTTGTGGAAGCAGAGTCCACGGGGCTGGTGGTAGATTAGAGCCCAAGTGGCACTTAAGGGGCACTTGCCGGCACTGGTACGTGCAGCGCTGATAAGGGACGCTCTCTTTCCAGCCTGGATCGATACCTCCCGTTATCAGCCGTGCCCCGGGGTCTGGAGAGCACCGAGCCCCGCGATAACCCCGCGCTTTCGTCCTTCCCTTGCCGCAAAAGGGCCCCCGGTGCCTTTTCCCGATAAGCAGGAGCTGAATGTGCAGTGCTCCGAGATGCACCGGGGCAGGGCCGCGGGTGTGCGTGACCGGCTCCACGAGCTCCAGGGGCCGAGGGAAGCGGCGTGGAGACGGGGCTCGGCTGGGAAAAGCATCCCCAGGGGTTCATGGAAGACAGAGGCGCTGACAGAGACCACGCAGGGGGTGGGATGGGGGGAATGGACGGGCTGAGCCCGCAGGAAGGGGCAGCCGCTTCCCAAAGGGATCGACACGTTTCCAGTGGCGCTTGGGACCGAGAAAACAAACACGGCCCACGTGAAACTGCCCCGGGCGGAGGCGGAACCGGTTCGGCCGCTCGGCTGCGGGGTGTCCATGGGAGGAAGGGACGGACGGAGCGGCCTGGACCCGCTGCGGGCCAGGGGAGCCGGGCAGATCAGGGAACCCCGGGGTTTAACCCCAGCCCCGGTGCCGCTGTAGCGGGGACAGCGGGAGGGTCCGGGGGCGCTTCCCCAGCCGGGAACGGGGCGGGTGGGCACGGTCCGGCGCTGGCACCGGCGATGGAGAGGGAGGACCGGTGGCGGTGAGGGCGGGAGCTGGGGCCGGGCCCCGTTACCGGTAACGAGACCGGTAACGCGGGGAGAGCTCAAGCACAGCCCACTCCGTTCCGAGAGGCCACTTCCGCCTTTGGTCACATGACTGCCGCGCTGCTTTTCCGTCAGCCCAATCAGCGGCCAGCTTTCCGCGTGACCTCCGTCCCGGCGGTGTCCCGTCAAGATGGCGCTGTCCATGGCCGCCTGCCGCGGGTTGCTCTGGCGCCTCGGGCCCGGCCCCGCCGCAGGCCTCAGCCGCGCCCGGCGGGAGCTGAGGTGAGCGGGGCCTCCCCCACCCCGGCCCGCCCGCTCCCGCCGCAGCGCCCGCACCCCAGTACCGGCCACACCCCCGTTACCGCCCTGGCCGCCCCCGTGCACCCCCGGTACAGGCCGCAGACCCCGCGGCTCCCCGCTCCTTACCGCGCTGCTTCCCGCTCTGTGCCACACGGAGCCCCCGCACAGGCCCCGTCCGCAGTCCCCACCCCGAGCCCTGTCACAAGCGGCTGCCTGGGCCCGTGCAGGGTAAAGGGGGGGTCCCAGCACCTCAACCGTTTAACGGGGGCTTCAGGCCCCACCTCCCAGCCCAGCGCCCACCTCCGGGCCAGCCCCTCCTTTCCTCGGAGCCTTTCCTGCGGGGCAGGATCAGTCCCGGGGTGCTTTGCTGCAGGCTCCCGGGGCGCTGCCTCTCCACAAAGGCCGGCTCCAGGTCGGTCCTGGCCGCCCTGGTCTCCACGGCGAAGCGCATCAACAGGAGGTACGAGAGGTTCCTGGAGCGCACGTTCCCCCGGTTCTATGTGCTGCACTCCACGTTCACCAGAGGTGGGTGCTGGGGGGGCAGCAGGATGTGCTCCCGCACCGCTGGAGGGGTGTTCCTTGGAGCCAGGGCCTGAGGCTGCTCCGGCTTCACCAGGGATCCAAGCGCTCTTCTTGGAAGTGAAAGAGATTCGAGACATCCGCTCCCGAATGGCCCGGCAGGGGCTGAGCGTGCAGCAGCTCCCGTACCGGGACATGGAGCGCCTGCGGCAGGTACGGCCCCGGCCCTGGCCCCGGCCCTGGCACCGGCTCGGCCCCGCTCTCAGGATGGGGATCAGGAGCTGCACCCAGGACAAGGAACTGGGGAATGCGGCCCCGGGTCCTGATTCTCGCTTCTTCTGGAGGCAGTTCCGGAGGGACCTGATCAAGGCCGTTCCCATTGGCATCATCGCCATCCCGCCCTTCGCCAACTTCCTGGTCCTCATCCTCATGTGAGTGCAGCCACGACCCCGACCTCTGGGCTCCATCTTTGGCTTCATGGAACTGGGGTTCTTAGAGCTGTAAACCCAACCAGACACCCCCATCCCTCGCCCCACCTCTCGCTGTCTCCATGCTCCTCCCAGTGTCCCTCTCCCTTCCAGCTGGCCTGGTCCTGGAGCTGAATCCTACTAAATCCCTGCAGTTTCCATTTCTGCTCCCGTGTGTCCACTGGTGAGAGCCCCAGCTCCAGCCGGGCACAGCAGCGATCCCAGCACCAGAGGGCTCCTTCCTAAGCTCCCTGCAGCCTTCGGAGGAGCCGATCCCCTCCCATGACCCACTCAGGGTCTGTGGATGTGGTTTCCCCCCTCAGATCCCATTGATTCATTCCTGACACCCCCAGCAGAACCGGCTGCTCGGGCACAGGCTGGAATCCTGGCTGGGTGCTGGGGAACGGGGCTAAATCCAGGCAGGGGCTGGTCCCATAGGATGTTCCCCAGGGCTCAGTGCTGGGCCCGGGGCTGGTTTGTGTCTTTGTCACTGATCTGCAGGAGGGGATGGAGCAAACCCGCAGTCAGGTGACACCAGGGTGGGTGGCTGGGATGCTCTGCAGGGGGATCTGGCCAGCCTGGATCCGTGGCTGTGCCAATGGGGTGAGGTTCAAGGAGGCAAAGGGACGGATCCTGCACTGGGGCCACAACAACCCCATGGAATGGTGCAGGCTTGGGGAAGAGCGGCTGGAAACGGCTCCTGGGAAAGGAGCTGGATGGATGGAGCTGAGCAGGAGCAGCTTGTGCCCAGGGAGCCCCCAGCATCCTGGCCTGGCTCAGCACCAGTGCGGCAGCAGGGCCAGGGCAGGGATTGTGCCCCTGCACTGGGCACTGGTGAGGCTGAACCTCAAATCCTGTGCTCAGCTCTGGGCCCCTCACTGCAAGAGAGACATTGAGGGGCTGGAGCGGGGCCAGAGCAGGGCAATGGGGCTGGAGCAGGGCCTGGAGCACAGGGGTGATGGGGACCTGAGGGACCTGGGGGGTTCAGATGGAGAAGAGAAGGCTCAGGGGGACCTGATGGCCCCCTCCAAGTGCCTGACAGGAGGATGGAGCCAGGAGGGGCTGGGCTCTGCTCCCAAGGACCAAGGGATGGGACAAGAGGAACCGGCCTCAAGTTGCACCAGGGCAGGGTTAGATGGAGCTGAGGAACAATTCCTGCCCCAGAGGGTGCTCAGCATTGGAACAGGCTGCCCAGGGCAGGGCTGCAGGCACCCATGGAGACGAGGCCTCAGTGCCATGGGTTAGGGGTGGCCTTGGCACTGCTGGGAACGGGTGGAAGTGAAACTGTTCCCCAGTGACTGCCAAGCTCCCTCTCTGAAGGAGCTCCCCCCCTGCATCCCTCTCTCCTCTCCTCCCCAGGTATTTCTTCCCTCGGCAGCTCCTGATCCGTCACTTCTGGACCCCCCAGCAGCAGGTTGAGTTCCTGGGCACCTACGACGCCATCCGCAGGGATTCCTACCCGGCTGTGCTGGAGAGCCTGGCGCGGGCAGCACGGTCCCTGCCTGACCCCCAGCTCCGGTCCCGCCTGCAGCAGCTCTGCTCCGAGGTACCAGCATCAGCGGGGCCGCTGTCACCCTCCTGCTGTGCCGCCATGGGGAGGGCACCCCGGGAGGTGCTGGCCTGGGCTCTGTGGTCCTGCAGGTGCAGCGCGGCTCCCAGCCCCGCGTGGCCGAGCTCTGGGCACTGAGAGGGGCGTTCTCAGGGCCTGGCCTGGCTCTGAACCAGCTCCAGCTCTGCCATGTGGTGAGTTTGGCTTCTGTGCTGCAGCGCTGCCCCTTCAGCCCTAAACCCGCTCCAGGTGGGGATGGAAAGCTGGGTGCTGCATCCCTGGGAACACCGGGATGCTGGGGGCAACTGCATTGAGTTGGGAATGGTGGAACTAAATGAGCTTCAGGGTCCCTTCAACCCAAACCAGCGCGGGATCCCGGGGACAAGGCTGTTTGTGCATCCTTTGGTCACCATTGGCCTCACACCCAACGCCCGTGTGCAGCCCACGCAGGGCTCGTGTCTCCCGGGCGCTGCCAGGCCAGGGATTCCGTGTGGGAGGATGATCCAATGGGATCGAGATGTGGGTCACGGCTGGGAGCGGCTCCGGCTCCAACGCCCGCTCTGGGGGGGGCTCTGCCCCTTTCCCTCCTCAGAAAGCCCTGAGCCGGGTCCTGTTCCTGACCCCGCACTTGCCGGCCCCCGTCCTGCGGCACCGCCTGCGCAGCCACATGCTGGAGATCCGGCAGCTGGACCGGGCCCTGCAGCGCCTGAGCCTGGGGCAGCTCCATGAGGAGGAGCTCCGAGCGGTGAGGACCCCCCCGGGGCTTGGGAATGGGGGAGCTTCCCGGCCCCCCCCCAGCCTGGGGCTCAGGGCCCCCTCCTGTGCCCTCCAGGCCTGTTACCTCCGCGGGCTCCACTGCGCGCCGCTGGACCTGGCCTCGTGCAGAGCGTGGCTGGAGCAGTGGCTGGGGCTCTCCTGCAGGCTGGAAGGTGACGGAGGCGGTGGGGCTGGGCAGGGGCCTGGGCTCATTGCTGGGGAGATCCGGGATGGGCGATGGGGTTACCCCAGCCTGGGCTGTCCCATGCATCCCTTGGGGGCCTCGTCCCTGAGAGGAGGGGATGGAGGAACGAATGCGCTGGCTCTGCCCATGGATGTGCCCATGGGGGATACCCCAAGGGACCTCAGGGGGGCAGATTCCAGCCCTGCAGGGAAACAGAATGGGGCTGGGAGGGAAATGGGGGACCCAGAGCAGAGCAGAAGGGGCTGGGGGTGAGGAGGGGCCCTGCAGCCTCTGGTGCTGCATGGGAGGAGCGCGGTCGGAGGGGTCGTCCCTGCTCATCGCAGGGGGTTGGATTTGAGGTGCTTTGAGGGCCCCTTCCACCCCAACCCATTCCATGGCTCCGTGGCTCTGACCCCGCTCGTGTTCCTCTTTCAGCCTCCGAAGCCTCGCTCCTGGCCAACAGCATGGTCCTGCTCTCCCTCAACTACATCAGACCCAAGGAGTGAGGGGGGAGCCCGGCCCGGCCGCTTCCCAGCCTGGTGCTGCCCAAAGCCCACCCTGGGGGTTGAACCCCCCCTGCCCTGAGCCGCTGCCGTGGGGTGAGGGCACGGCTCCCCCCTCCTGCCCTGGCTCTGCTCTTCCCCTTCGTGCCGTGGGGCTCAGCCCCAGCCTGGGACCCTTCAAGCCCAGGAGGGGAGGAGCAGCCCCTGGGCCTGCCCTTGGGGTCTCCCAGCAGCGGGTTCTGCTCGGCCTCCAGCTCCAGCTCCCTCCCTGCTCCCAGCACCCTCGGGCACAGAAAGGTCCCCAAGGGATGGAGCAAAGACCAAGGATGGACCGGGAGCAGCTGGGAAAGGGGCTCCTGTGCTTTGTGCTGCTGCCTCCTGCACAGAGGTGCCTTTGGGGGCTCCGCTGCCCTCTGGGGTTCAAGGCCCCCTCCCTGCATGAGACCCCCCCTGTGAGTGACCCCAACCCAGTGCCCAAGTGTTTGATTAAAGCCCGACTCAAGCTGGCGCCGTGAGCATCTCCCTGGTGCCTCCTGCACCGGGCTCCCATGGCCATGGGGAACGCGGGCACCTGGAATGGTGCAAAGGAGGGGTAGGAACCACCCCTGCTCAGCCCCAAGCCAAACCCCATTCCCCGACCCAAGGGGAGCTCCTGGGATGGGTTTAACCCCAGGCACCGCACACCCTGGAGCCTTTTCACTCTAAATCCAGCCTTCAGCGGGAGAGCAGAAGGGGACAGGGAGGAAAAACAGAGGCCGAGCATTGGCTTCCCGGTGGGGCAGGGAGCAGGGTGAGGGGGGAGCTGCACTGGGTTTAACTGGGCCGAGGCACCGCAGCTTGGGTTGGGGCTGGGGTGGTGGGGTCTGAGTCGGTGCCGAATGGAGCAAGGACCGGGGGGGGGGGGATGCTCAGACAGGGAGAGCGCAGCAGGAGCAGGATCCGGTCCTGGTGGGGTCTGGAGCCCAGCGCGGTGCCCGAGTGCTCCTGCCCGGCTGTGCCCCTCGGAGGCCATGGGGAGCAAGGCAGGAAGGGGGGAATGAAGACCTGGAGCCTTTGAGCATCCCTGCTCTGGCTGCACAGCTCGGCTCCAGGCAGGTCCCTGCTGGGAAGGGACGTGGGGATGGGGATCACCAAGGGACCGGGCATGGAGCCCCTGGGGTGGAAACCAAGAGCCCCTTCCCTTCCCCTTGGCCCAGGGGCTCGGACCCGCTCCCCAAGCACCAAACCCCCATTAAGGCCCTGTTCCCATGGGGAACTGAGCACCAGGAGCCTTCAACCCCCAAGCAACCAAAGCACTGGGAGCCCCAGAGTGACTCCCCCATGGAATCCCCCTGCTCTCCAGCTGGGACGTTTCCCTTGGGAACCTCAAGCCCCAGGGTTGCTTCCCAAGGAGCAGCAGCGATGGGGCTGTGCCGGATCAACCCCATCAGCAGAGGAAGCTCGTGGGCATCGGGGGCTCTTGGCTCCCATCAGCTCCCAGCTCTCTCCTTACAAAGATGGGGTTTGCTCATCCAGAACGGGCTGGGACAACAGAGAGGAGATGGGCAATGAGCCCCCCCAGTGGCTCCGGGTCCTTGCAGTCCATCCTGAGCCCAGCACCGGCCCCAGGGAAGGGGGAGCATCCCCAGGAGGTGCTGGGTGGCCAAAGGGGCTGGGGAGCATCCATTAAAGGGATGGAACCAGAGGGAAAAGGGGGGTTTAAGTTACCCCCCCCCAGGGAAGAGCTCTCCTGCAGGTGGAACAGGACCGGAGGGAGCTGCAATGGGAAGAGGGGGGCTCCAGGTCCAGCACCCAGGAGCCAAGCGGCCGCGGGCCTGTGCCAGGCAATGGGATGGGTTCAGATCCTCGGGACAGTGCCCCCCCAGCACCCGGGAAATAACCACCAGTGGCCGCTGCTGGTCCATAAAATCTTATTGTCAATAAATAACGGAGCACCGAGGGGGGCCCTGGCTCACACCGGCTCCGGCACCGGCTCCGCTGGCACCGAGCTCCCGGCGGATGCTGCAGCCCCGGCTGCGGATGGAGGGGCTTTGGCTGCTTCCCCCTTGCTGGCGGCTCGGCTGGGAGCAGCCCCGGCCCCAGGCAAGGCGCTGGGCTCCTTCTCGGCCACGCAGGACGGTGCTGGGGGCTCGGGGGGGGCAGCATCGCCCCTGGGGCCCGGCCTGGGCTCCATTGGGTAGTAGAGCACGGAGCCATCGTTCAAGTAGGGCTGCTCGCCCGCGGCCGCCGGCTCCGAGCCCTCGGCGAAGCAGAGGACGGACGAGCCCGGGGGTAACTGGGCTTGGATGAGGATGGGGGCGGCCAGAGCGGGGCAGAGCCCCTGCGGCACCGCCAGCGGCTCCTCCACGATGCAGACCCCCAAGCTCTCGACACCGGGGCCGCTGCTGGAGTCTTCCTCAGCCTTCAGCCTCTCCAGCTCCTCGGCCGTCTGCAGGTGCATCACGGCCGACTCGTTCTCTGCCATGAACTCCTGGAAGTCCTGGGTCTCACCGGGCTGCGGCCCCGGCCACGCGCCGCTGCAGCCGTGAGCGGCACCGGACGCGGCCTCCTCGGGCACCGGGGGCCGCCCCCCGCCCTGGCGCTTGTTCTCCAGCTCCAGCTTCATGATGGTGTGGAGGTAGTGAGTCCGCACGCGGATGGGGTTGAACTCGATGCGCCCGGCCATGTTCCCGCAGCCGTCCCGGGAGCAGCCGCACGGGAAGGACATGCGATCCACCTGCGGGGGGATGGAGACGTGGCAGCGCCAGGATCACCCCACCACGGAACGGGGTGGGTTGGGAGGGACCTTAAAGCTCCCCCAGTTCCAACCCAGTGCAATGGGCACGGACCCCTTCCACTGGAGCAGCTTGCTCTGACCCCTGCGTCCAACAGCGCCAGGGATGCAGCACCCACAGCTTCTCCCTTCAACCCATTCCATGTCCCCCCATCCCCATGGAAGAACTCCCCAGCGGCACCCATAGCTCACCTGGCACTTGATCCCGGCCTGGCTGCAGGCGCAGGCCTCGGGGTCGCAGTAGAGGCGGCAGTCGCAGCCGCACTCCTCCCGGGAGAGCCGGATCGCGCGCAGCTCCTGCTTCTCCTCGGCGTCGATGCGGTGCACGCCGGAGGCGCGCAGCAGCGCCCGGCGCCGCTTGGTGGGCAGCGGCTGCAGGAAGAAGTAATCGTCCACCTCCACGTTCTCCACGTCGATGTCGTCGTCAGAGACGTCCTCCAGCGTGAGCCCCTCGGCCTCCTCCGACTCCACGGTCCCGTTCTTGGTGAGCTGCGGGTGGCGGGGCAGAGGCTGGGATTCCTGCATCCCGCATCCCGCATCCTGCATCCTGCGTCCCACATCCTGCATCCCGCATCCCGCATCCCGCATCCCGCATCCTGCATCCCGCATCCTTCATCCTGCATCCCGCATCCTGCATCCTGCATCCTGCATCCCGCATCCCGCATCCTGCATCCCGCATCCTTCATCCTGCATCCCGCATCCTGCATCCTGCATCCCGCATCCTGCATCCTGCATCCCGCATCCTGCATCCCGCATCCCGCATCCTGCATCCCGCATCCTGCATCCCGCATCCCGCATCCCGCATCCTGCATCCTGCATCCTGCATCCTGCATCCTGCATCCCGCATCCTGCATCCCACATCCTGCATCCCGCATCCCGCATCCTGCATCCCGCATCCTGCATCCCGCATCCTGCATCCCGCATCCTGCATCCCGCATCCCGCATCCCGCATCCCGCATCCCGCATCCCGCATCCTGCATCCCGCATCCTGCATCCCGCATCCTGCATCCCGCATCCTGCATCCTGCATCCCGCATCCTGCATCCCGCATCTGCATCCCGCATCCCGCATCCTGCATCCCGCATCCCGCATCCTGCATCCTGCATCCCGCATCCCGCATCCTGCATCCCGCATCCCCTCCAGACCCCCCCCTCCACCCCAGCTTATGGGAGAAGGGAGCAGGGAAACATGAGAGAAAAAGAGAATCCCAAGCAGGGAACCCCTTTCCCAGGTGCCCTCGCTGTGCCCTGCAAGCAATGGGATCACAGGAGGTCCCTGCTGCTGAAAACACCGGCATTGACGGGAGTGACCCCTGGGAAAATGAGACTTGAGGGGGCAGAGATGCACCCTGCATCTCAAACACTCCCAAAGCCTGGCTCATGGTGTCCCAGCCCTCTGGGAGCTGGCGCATGGGGATGCCCATGGCCTCCTGAGGAGGTGGGTGCTGGAGGTGGGTGTCCGGGCACTGAGAGCCCCAGCCCCTGGGCAAGGCTCCAGGGCACAGCCCCAGCCCAAGGATGGGCTGGAGAACAGGCAGAGCCCCCCAGAGCCTGCGGGTGCCTGCTGCCAGACCCAGCACCCATGGACACCCATGGACACCCATGGACACCCATGGACACCCATGGACACCCACTGACACCCATGGACACCCATGGACACCCATTGACACCCATGGACACCCATTGACACCCATGGACACCCATGGACACCCATGGACACCCATGGACACCCATGGACACCCATTGACACCCATGGACACCCACGGACACCCACGGACACCCACGGACACCCATTGACACCCATGGACACCCATGGACACCCACGGACACCCATTGACACCCATGGACACCCATTGACACCCATGGACACCCATGGACACCCATGGACACCCATGGACACCCATTGACACCCATGGACACCCATGGACACCCATTGACACCCATTGACACCCATGGACACCCACTGACACCCATGGACACCCATGGACACCCATGGACACCCATGGACACCCATGGACACCCATTGACACCCATGGACACCCATTGACACCCATTGACACCCATTGACACCCATGGACACCCACTGACACCCATGGACACCCATTGACACCCATTGACACCCATTGACACCCATTGACACCCATGGACACCCATGGACACCCATTGACACCCATTGACACCCATGGACACCCATGGACACCCATGGACCCCCATGGCCTAGATGATCCTTTGAGGTCCCTTCCCACCTCTAACATGCTGTGATACTGGCACACAGGAGAGGGACCAGCCCCACCCTGGACACGGGGACCCCTCGGGTACCTTCATCTTCTTGGCGTGGAGCTTCTCCTCCCTGAGGTGCTCGCGCAGGATCTGGCGGTGGTTCACCTCCTGCTCCTGCGCGAACTCGCACAGGGTGTAGCTGCGCACCGAGGTGTGGCGCGGGGCCATGCCCAGGGAGCTGCCGCCCTGGCTGGGGACGCTGGTGAAGCCCTGGCGCCGTGCGAAGTAGTACACGGTGACCTGGTCGAAGCGCACGTTCTTCCTGCCCAGCTGCTTCTGCCGCTTCAGGATGGACGTGGCTGCAAGGGGGAGGCACCGCAGTGGTCACGGGAGTAAAGAGAACCCCCCCCCCCGACCCCTCATTGCACCCCACTGGGATCCCTGGATGGGGCTGAGCTCGTGCTCTGCGTGGTGCTGAGTCCCTCTGGGGGTGAGCAATGAGCTCTGGTGCCATCGAGGCCAATGGCAGCGCCCGCGCAGGGAGGGAAGGGCTCCAGCAGGGTGAATCCTGGGGTATCCCAGTATCCCAGTATCCCAGTATCCCAGTATCACAGTATCCCAGCATCCCAGTATCACAGTATCCCAGTATCACAGTATCCCTGTATCCCAGTATCCCAGTATCACAGTATCCCAGTATCCCAGTATCACAGTATCCCAGTATCACAGTATCCCAGCATCCCAGTATCCCAGTATCACAGTATCCCAGTATCACAGTATCTCAGTATCCCAGTATCCCAGTATGATAGAGATTGGAAGGGACCCCAAAAGCTCATCCAGTCCAATCCCCCTATGGAGCAGGAACCCCCAGATAAGGTCACACAGGAACGTGTCCAGGCGGGTTTTGAATGTCTCCAGAGAAGGAGACCCCACAGCCTCCCTGGGCAGCCTGGTCCAGTGTTCTGTCCCCTCACTGAGAAGGAGTTGAAGTGGAACCTCTTGTGTTCCAGTCTGCACCCATTGCCCCTTGTCCTATCATTGTTTGCCACTGGGAAGAGCCTGGCTCCAGCCTCGGGACACTCCCCCTTTATATATTGATATACACTGATAAGGTCACCCCTCAATCTCCAGACTATAGAGCCCCAGCTCCCTCAGTCTGTCCTCATAAGGGCAGGGGCCCGCACACCGGGAGCGGGGCTGGCAATGGGAAGTGCCCAAGGCCGCATCCCCCCATGGGCCCGGAGGGTGGCGGAGGGCAGGGGCCGAGCACCCCGAGCCCACTCACGTCGGAAGGCGCTGGAGCTGCAGGGGTTGACGCTGTCGCAGCTGTCGGCGCTGTCGCTGTTGGAGATTTCGTCGTCCGAGTTGGAGCCCGCCGAGCCCGCGTCCGCATCCTCGAACTTCCTCTTGATGCCGGCGCTCGGGATCGCGTCCATTGGGCCGTGGCTCGCATGGGAGCCGGGGGGCAGCAGCTCCAGCTCCGCGGCGCCAGCCCCTGCCCGCAGCCCTCGGGGCTCTCTGTGGACAAGGAGAGAAGCGAGGGTGGCTTTTGGGGTAAGCCAAGAGCACTTGGGATAAGCGGGGAAGGTTCATGCGGATGCTGGGAGCAGCGCTCCCATCCCTGCCTGCGTAACGCCTCTGAGCCCATCACCCCTGTGTCTGGTCTGCAGCTCCTCCAGCTCCAATCCCAACCCCTTCCACTGTTGCAGGGGGCTCCAACCCCTGTGTCCTTGAGCACTGCCAGGGATGGGGCAGCCCCAGCTTCTCTGGGCACCCTGTGCCAGCGCCTCAGCACCCTCACAGGGAAGAGCTTCTGCCTCAGAGCTCAGCTCAGTCTCCCCTCGGGCAGGTTCAAGCCATTCCCCTTGGCCTGGCCCTGGTGAGTCCCTCTCCACATCCTTGTAGCCCCCTTCAGGCCCTGAAGGTGCTCTGAGGTCTCCAGGTAGGAAGGGGATGAGCTGCTGGAGGATCCTGCTGTGCTCCAAGCAAGGCAGCTTGTCCATGGGTCCTGGGACGTGCTGGGCTCCAGCTTGGGTGAGGAGTGTTTGAGAGATGATGCTCCAGTGGGAAAACTGGCGAGTGTCCCTCTATGTCACAGCAATGGAAGCAACCCGCATGGAAAAGAGCTTCAGCATCACCCAGTCCAACCGTTCCCAGCAGTGCCAAGGCCACCCCTAACCCATGGCACTGAGGCCTCGTCTCCATGGGTGCCTGCAGCCCTGCCCTGGGCAGCCTGTTCCAATGCTGAGCACCCTCTGGGGCAGGAATTGTTCCTCAGCTCCATCTAACCCTGCCCTGGTGCAGCTTGAGGCCGGTTCCTCTTGTCCCATCCCTTGTTCCTTGGGAGCAGAGCCCAGCCCCTCCTGGCTCCATCCTCCTCTCAGGCACTTGGAGGCAGCCATCAGGTCCCCCTGAGCCTTCTCTTCTCCATCTGAACCCCCAGGTCCCTCAGGTCCCCATCACCCCTGTGCTCCAGGCCCTGCTCCAGCCCCATTGCCCTGCTCTGGCCCCGCTCCAGCCCCTCAATGTCTCTCTTGCAGTGAGGGGCCCAGAGCTGAGCACAGGGCTGGAGGTGCAGCCTGCACCATTCCATGGGGTTGCTGTGGCCCAAGCGCAGGACCCAGCCCTTTGCCTTCCTGAACCTCATCCCATTGGCCACAGCCACGGATCCAGCCTGCCCATGGATCCCCCTGCGGAGCTTCCCACCCGATCCGGTGCCACCTGCCTCTGACTGCAGTTTGCTGATGCCCTCATTGAGACCATGAGCAGGGAGCTCCCTCTCGATGATCCCGGGTCCCCAGAGCAGCTCCTGCCGTTGAACGGAGCCCAGGGCATCTCCTGTCCCCATCCCGGATAGGCTGGATCCGGAATCCCCCCGGGACACCCTGGGCGGTGCAGCCTCATCTCCCCTCCCTGCTCCTCCTCCGTTCTCATGGCAACAGAGAACCCAGGAACCAGCGGCTTCCCTGCGGAACCCCATGGATCCCATGCAGGGGTGCAGGGGCTCTGCGTCCCCTGGTGACCACCGCCTGCCCCACAAAGGGTGTGTGGGTGCCGCAGCTGCAGCCCTCCCCGTGTTCCATCACCCCAAACCTGCCCCATGCCTGCGCCCCCAGGGTCCCTGCATGGGTTCCTGTGGGTGCTGCTCAGCCCAGGGCCCCACCAACCTCACCAGCCCTGGGTTAGGAAGGAGCTGATCCCCAAGGAGAGCGCAGTTCCTGGCACTGCCTCCCAAACCCCCCTCCTGCAGGTGCTTCCAATGGGGAAAAGCAGGGATGCTGCCGGGGGGACAATACCCGCAGCATCAGCATGGCTGGGGATGGAGACTGGCTCCAGGCCTGGATGGATCCACCAGGACCGAGCGCATCTCCATTGGGATGGATCCATCTGGATGGATCGATCGGATTTCATTTCCCTTTCCAATGCAGAAGCTCCCTGCCCACGTGAGCATCCTCCTCCTCCTCCTCCTCCTCCTCAGCGCAGCAGCAGCTGCCCCTCTGTGCAGCAAAGGGCACTGAAATTCCTTTATTAGCTCCAATTTTCCTTCTTTTGGTGGTTTCTGGCTTTGGGAATGGGCAGGGGGCAGCAGGGCCCAGCATCTCCCAGTGAGCCAGCATGGAGCAGTCCTGGAGCTGCTGGAGGGAAGAGGAGACCCTCACCCTGGCCTCAGGCCTGCTCTGCAGGTCAGGGCTGCCTCACATAAGGCTTAAAGAGGGAGGAAGCAAAGAGCTGCGGCTGGAATTGCCTCTGGGAGCAGGGAGGGGGTAGGAAAGAGATGGGATTTGGGTGGTCAAAGACCCCAGAGCCGGTCCAGCCCCGGGGCTCCAGTGTGGGACTGGGAAAACCCGAGGCTCGATGCTCATCCAAGGCTGATGGTCCCCAGGCTGGTTTGGGATTCCTGCTTCCAGGAGAGGAGGAAGGGCAGGAGCATCCCGGGGTGAGGTCTGCTCTGTGGTCCCCAAAGCTCCTTCACTGCCGCTGATGGATCTGCAGTGGTCCAGGGCCTCATTCCGCCTCCAGCATTGCCTCCAATGATCCTGGATCCCTGTGGATGCGCTGCCGGGCTCCTCCTCCATCGACAGAGCAATTCCAGAGGGATGAACTCAAAGCTTTACTTGCAGCCCTTCAGAGCCATCAGGGATCACCCCCTGAGCATCCTGCATGGGATCCTCTGGGCATCCCACGGACCTTGTGATGGCGCCCTAAAAACCACGCTCCAGGCCCAAGCAACCTGGATGATGCTCAGAATCCCCCCCTCTCTGCGAGCTGCTTTAACCACATCCCTGGAGCCCCAGTTTAGGGTGGGGAATGGTTTAAATGAGCTTCCCATCAAAAGCAAGAGGCAAAAGTGGGTCCTGGCAACACCTCTGGGGTTTGGGGGTATCAAAGGGGTCGAATATGGAGATGTGGGATTATCTCAGCAGCCCCGGAGAAGGAGAGGGTGGGAACTGCATGAGAGCAGGAAGAAACAGACCCACACAGGGAGAGCCCCCCTGGGCTAAGCAGCAGCAGCAGCCAGACCCCATCCTGGTGCATTAAGGACCAGATCACGGAACACAGGATAAAGGCAGGAACAAAACCATCAAGGAATAACCGGAGGAGCCCATTTTATTCCATCGCAGCACTGAGCATCTCCCAGGAAGCCGACACTGGGGAGCAAAGGCAGGAGCCAGGCTGCAATCCCCTGGAAACCCACCCAAAAAGGGGGCTTCTCCTCACAGAGCCCCCCCAGCCCGGCTCCATCCCGTGATGCAGCGGGAACAGCGCTGCCGGGATGACACGGCAGCATCGCTGCAGAGCCCCACAGCAGGAAACCCCTCCAGTGCTTCCCAGTGAGCAGCAAAGCAGCTCCCAGCACCAGCACAGGGGGATCCAGGCCCTCATCCCCAGGGAAAGCAAACGGGAGCCTGCAGAGAAGCCGAATCCAAACCCTCAATGCGCTGCCCCCAAAGAGCACGGAAAGCAGCTCCCCTCCTCCGGGATGGCCCCGTGATGGGGTTGGGGTCGGGGGCAGCTCCTCGTGGGAAGGGTCCAGGCACAGGGAAGCACATAAAGGAAAATGAAGCCCAGGGATGCTATCGCTGCAGAATCAAGGCAGGAGCTGGGGGAAATGGCACAGGCAGTTCCCAGGCTGTGTGCGACAAATCCAGGCGATCCCAGGCCGGGAATGAGGGCACAAGCTCCTATTGATGAGCCCAGGAACGGGGCTGATTCTTGCCCCCCGTGGTGGGGAGGGAAGGGAGGCTTCAGCGCTGGGGCCTGGCGGGGCTATGGGAAGGGCTGATCCCAAACCAGCCACTGGGTCCCTTTGCCCGTCACCGGGATCGAGTCATAGGGGAGGCTCCACAGAACACCTTGATCCTGGAATCCCAGCCTGGGTTGGGTTGGGAGGGGCCTGAAAGCTCCTCCAGCTCCAATCCAGCCCCAGGGACCCCTTCCACTGGAGCAGGGTGCTCCAAGCCCCTGTGTCCAACCTGGCCTTGAGCACTGCCAGGGATGGGGCAGCCCCAGCTTCTCTGGGCACCCTGTGCCAGCGCCTCAGCACCCTCACAGGGAAGAGCTTCTGCCTCAGAGCTCAGCTCAGTCTCCCCTCGGGCAGGTTCAAGCCATTCCCCTTGCCCTGTCCCTGCATCCCTTGTCCCAAGCCCCTCTCCAGGTTCCCTGCAGCCCCTTTAGGCACTGGAGCTGCTCTGAGGTCTCCCCTGCTCCCAGCACCTGAGGGCAAGGCAGGAGGGCACAGAGGGGGCTGTTGGATGGAGCAGCTCTCCCGATGCTGAGCGTGGTCAGCACCAGACCCCGGCTCCTACCGAGATGACCCCGAGGAGCATCAGGGCCGTGGTGCAGCGCGGGCTGGGCTGCAGAGCCTCCATCACGGCTGCTGGAGGTCCCACCATGGCCCAACAGCACCACCCCAGCACCCCCCTTCCCCTCCCAGCGCCTGCAACGGGGGCAGCCAACGACCCCTCCCCGCCTTTGGGGACATCAGAGCAGGACCCCCACAATGGCGGCTCCTCCAGCACATCACCACCATCATCATCATCATCATCATCAGCAGCAGCAGCTCCTTCCCACCACCCTGGTGGGCCCTACCGCTACGCGGCTCCTTAGGGACCCATGTAACCCTCCAACTCCCCTATACCCTGCAGTGTGCCCCCCACATGTAAAGACCCCCCCCACCTTCTCCAGTCCCCAGCTAGAGGACAAAGCAGCTTAAGGGGCACCCCATGTCCTCCATCGGTGCCCCACATCCCTTACAGGCCCCCACAACACAGAGGAGGGGAGAGCCCCTCCTGAAAGGGTCCCCTACGTCCTCTATAGGCACCACCCCAACAGCCCCCCCCAGCTGTCAGCCCCCCCCATACATTCTCCGTTTGGAAGCTGGGCCCACGTGCCCTGCAGGCCCCTGCATTCTCTATAGCCCCCAGCCAGAAAAGGCCCCCCCATCCCCTATAGGCCCCTCTAGAACCCCTCCAGCTCTGGGGCCTTCCACCATCCCCTACAGCCCCTCAAGATGCAAAGCTTCCCACATCCCCTTTAGGCCCCTCATCCCCCATAGCCCCTATCCCCTACAGACACCCCCTCATCCGCCATAGCCCCTCATCCCCTATAGACACCCCCTCAGCCCCTATAGGCCCTCCTCAGTCCTCGCAGCTCCCCCGGCTCCGAGGCCCCCCCTCCCCTGCATTCCCCGGTGCACGCGGAGGGAGCGGCCGCCACGTGCCCCGCCCCCCGCCGGTACCGGACCCTCGCCCCCCCCCCCCCCCCCCCCCCTCACCGGGTCCCGGGGCGGGGCCGGGCGGGGCGGGGGCGGCTCCCGGGGGCGCGCGCAGGGGCCGGGCCGGGCCCGCCCCGCCGCCGACCGCCGACAACAATGGGGCCGCGGGCGCAGCGCCGCCCCTTATATACCCCGCGTCACGTGGAGGCGCACGCCCCGCCCACCACGCTCCCCGCCACCGCCCGCGCCGAGGGGCACGATGGGAAAGCGAGTCCTGCGGCCGCGGGGCACGACGGGAATTGTAGTGCGGAAGTGGCGGAAACCACGCCCGGGGCGCTGGGAGGCTGCGGCCCAGGACCCAGGACCCAGGGCCCGAGAGCCGCGGCCCAAGCCACCCGGGCCACCCGGTTCAACGGGAACGGGCCAAAGGAGGCCCCGGCACCGGCAGCCCCGCCTCCGTCCTCCCTGGCCCCTACAGCAGCGGCCCCGGCCCTCCCGCTCCCATCGCTTCATCGGTCGGGGGGAACCAGCCCAGTGCACTCGGCACCATCAGCACCGGGCTCACAGGGCCCACGGCTCCAGCGGGGTTCCTGCAGCCCAAGAGGGAAAACCAGGCTGGGAGCAGCGGGGGTGCAGCCTGGAGAAGAGGCCTCAGAGCCGGTGCCGGTGGCTGAAGGGGGCTCCAAGGATGCTGGGGCGGGACCTGCATGAGGGGCTGGAGCGATGGGACAAGGGGTGATGGGTTCAGACTGGAACAGGGGGAGTTCAGGTTGGGGGTAAGGCAGAGGCTCTTCCCAGTGAGGGTGCTGGGGCACTGGGATGGGTTCAGTGGAGGTTTGGATTCCCCATCCCATCAAGGCCAGGTTGGCCACAGGGGCTTGGAGCACCCTGCTCCAGTGGAAAGGGGTTGGGACTGGGTGAGCTTTAAGGTCCTTCATCCCATGATTCTATCTTCCCAAGTGACCTGAACGTGCACAGGGAGAAGCAGGTGGAATTGGTTCATGTCTCTGATGTCTTCTCCTGGCACCATCCTAGGGCTCCCCAGCTCAGGGCCAGTGTTTAGGAAGCAAATGAGCCCAAAGCCCAGCACAGAGACCAAGTGGCCACCTCCTCCTACCTGCAATCACCAGGCAGTGAGGGGCCAGGCCCTGGGCAAACCAGCCCAGACGGCTGCTGCCAACCCCCCACCATTCCCAGGCCTCACCCCTGCATCCTCCAGGTCCTGGCCAAGCCCGGCAGCAGGGCCATGGCCAACGTGAGAGTCACATCCAGCAGTGGCTTCACGCACCCCCAGGCCCTGCCTTGTGCTGGAGCTCCCCAGAGCATCAGTTGAGCTTTGCCCTGCATTTCTGCTCCTGTGTTTTGGCTCCAGACACCCCCAGGTCGTGCTGCGGGTTCATGGCAGGCAGCCCCGTACCATGGGCAGTCTCTACCAGATGGTTTTGCACAGGATCTATAACGTGAGGCCAGATTCTTCACCCCAGAGATGTCCCTGCTGGCCTGGAACCCTGCATTCCATAACCCTGGGATGCTGCTGCCTCCATCCCCTCAGCGTGCTCAGGGCTCCCCCAGTGCTGAGACAGGGGGATGCAGGGGCAGAGCACTCCCTATAAGCTGCAGCCAAGAACCCCAGAGCACGCTCGTTCGCTAGTTCTTTATCCACCTCTGCTGCACTCCACGGTTTGCTCCAGCTTTGTACACCCCAATCCATATGGAAGAGTTCCTGACCTCCCCCTTCATGGGAAGAGGGACGGCCCCCATGGAGCCAGTGCCACTTTCAGGTGGGTGGAGAGGAGAAACCCCAAGTGCCCACCTCTGTCTAACAGAATGGAGCATTAAATGAAAGCTTAATCAAACCTTTGAAGACCCCCCCAGCCGCACAGCACGCAGTGTAGGAGACCTGCCCAGCTCAGCACCGGCCCCAGGGCCACTTGTGTTCATGTTCTCTCCAGTCTGCCAGCGCCACCGGTGCCCCACAGCAGAGCTGAGCACGTCTGCCACAGCCAAAGCCTTCAGCAGGTCTTGGGTCCCATGGCAAAGCTCTGCCCAGGAGTGCTCCCATCCTCACTGCACGTCAGCACCAGCCAGCAGAGGCAGGAGGTTGAGGTCCTGTGCAAGCAAGAGCCGAGGAGCCGGCACTCGGGGGCTTTGCAGGGGATGCTCTGAGTCCCCAGATCTCTGCTCGTGTCCTTGTGCTGGAAGGGAAGGGTCTCCAGTGGTGATGGGAGGATGGCGAGTGCTCCTCCTGCCGGGCCCTCCTACTTCAGGATGATGTGGTAGCTGTCATTGGTCTCAGCTGCAAGGGAAGCAAAGGGCATGAGCCACCCCCTGGCCATGAACCCATTGGGCTGAGCGGATCGCACACGAGAGCTCCCCCAGGAGGGGCAGGAGGGAAACGGGAGCAGGAAGCCGGGCACTTACCTTTCATGGTGTCCAGAACGAAACAGGACTCGTCTTGGAAGTTCTGGATCATCTGCAAGAAGCAGTAAGAGCCAGCTTAGCCCAAGGCTGTGTCTGAACACAGCACGGGTGCCTCAGCCAGGTGAGGGCTTCGTGTTCAGCCACGGGCATAGAGTACAGGGCTGGAAGCTGCTCAGTGCTTCACCCCTAAATAACTGCTCCCTTCTGCAGCTCTCCAGCACTGAAGGTCTGAACAGGGAAGCAAGGAGAGAAACCCTCGGGTCTCAAAGCCAAGTCCTCCCCGAGCCGTTCCCCTCCCTGGTTTTAGAGCTGGGGTGAGCTCAGGGAGAGCTGCTCACTGATGAACCCCATGGGTTTAAGGGAGGTGCCCCCAACAGCACAGCAGCATCCCCAGGCACCAGCATCTTTGGCTCTCCTGGCTTCAACAATGAGCCCAGAGCAGGGCCCTTCCTGCAGTCCTGCCCCTGGGATGCCTTCCCCAGGCTCCTCTGCAACCTCCACCAAGGAGCTCAGAGCACACTCAGCCACACACGAGCTGCAGCAACCCAGTGCAGGAGGTTGGAAAGGAGAGCACCCGGAGGCTGTTACCTCGTCACTGATGAGCACGTGGATCCCCGTCGGGCCCTGCTTGTAGATCTGGCTGATCTGCTGGGAGGAGATGCTGAAGAGCTGGGCCAGCTTCTCCGTCAGCTCCACGGCCGTCAGCTCCTCCAGGTAGATGGCGTGGTACACTGCGAGCGGGAGAGCCCCTCTAGCAGATGCCAGGCGGGGCTTTGGTACCCACACCTCTGCCTGACTCACACAGCAGCATCTCCCCCAACCCCTGGTGCCTGCTCCTGCTGCCATCAGGATGCCCTGAGCTACAGCAGCAGCAGCTCTGCCTGGCACCGGTGCCCTGCAGGGCTCTTTACTGATGCAGTCTTTGCCCTAAAGGCTTCTGTTTCGACTGGCATCAACCAAGCAGTTTTGTGCCGTTCCTGGGGGTGCTCCAGTCCTGCCCCAGCTTCCCCCCCTGTTCCCCCACTCCCACCAGGCAGGTCCTGGGGAATGGGAGAGGATCCATCTCGGAGCAGGGCAAGGAAAGGAGGAGCTGGTTTGCTTCTGCACTCACTCCAGTCACCGAGGTGATAACCCAGTGCCTGCTGCTCCACCAATGTAGGTCACAGCAGCATCTGTCAGCTCAGCAGGCAGGGTCTGCAGCTCCCAGCTGGTGACACAGCTCAGCTGGGCAGGACCAGGGCAATTAATAAGGGCTCATCCTTATCTTCTGGCACCCTTATCCCTCGGTTTGTGACAGCCCCTGCACTGGGCTGCAGGCAAAGAGAACGGCAGCAGCCACCACGAGATGAAGACAGGAGCCTCAGACCCTCCTGGAGCTGCTGTGCAGGCTCTGTGAGCTCCAGCAACACAAAGAGGGGCCTTTGGGCAGCCCAAACCCCACGGGCAGTGGCATGGGGATGAGAGCAGAGGCAACTGATGCTGAGCACCTGTGAGCAGCAGGAGCAGGGCTGGAAGCAGCCCCAGGGGGTTTGTTTGCTGTTATGCCCCCCTGCAGCAGCCCAAGCAGCCGTGCCCCCGCCAGGCTCTGAAGCCCTTACCAAAGAACGTGCTGGTCACTGTGTCCCCGTCCTCGTGCTTCTGCTGGAGGTCCCTGAGCTGCTGGGACTCCTGGCACACGTAGATGGTCAGTCTGGGCCGCACCATCCTGTGGGCAGAGCAGGGACTGAACCCCCCCACCTCTGCTCTGACACCTGGAGCTCCTGACCCCCTGCCAGCACTCCCCATGCTCAGTATCCTCAGAGGGAAAGGAGGAGATCAATGAACTCATCTCAAAGCAAACCTGTCGTGGTCACCCCCACCCTGGTGATGCTGCAAAGAGTTCTGCACCCCCAGAGCACGAGCAGCAGGGCAGGGAGGGGAGACACCCCCAACCCCCTGCAGGCCTGATCCAGCTCTGGGACAGCAGCACAAGAGGGATGTGGAGCTGCTGGAGAGAGACCAGGAGGCCATGGGGATGCTGTGAGGGCTGGAGCAGCTCTGCTCTGGAGCCAGGCTGAGAGAGCTGGGCTGGGGCAGCCTGGAGAAGAGAAGGCTCCTGAAGGGGAGACCTGAGAGCAGCTCCAGTGCCTAAAGGGGCTGCAGGGAACCTGGAGAGGGGCTGGGACAGGGGATGCAGGGACAGGGCAAGGGGAATGGCTTGAACCTGCCCGAGGGGAGACTGAGCTGAGCTCTTAGGCAGAAGCTCTTCCCTGTGAGGGTGCTGAGGCGCTGGCACAGGGTGCCCAGAGAAGCTGGGGCTGCCCCATCCCTGGCAGTGCTCAAGGCCAGGTTGGACACAGGGCTTGGAGCACCCTGCAACAGTGGAAGGGGTCCCTGGGGCTGGATTGGAGCTGGAGGAGCTTTCAGGTCCCTTAACCCAAACCAGGCTGGGATTCTGTAATGGGAAAGCTGTCCCAGGGGCATGGTGCAAGCTGGTACCAAGCAGCTGAACTGGATTGGTCACCCCTGAGGCCTGAGCAGCCACAGCTCAGATCGAGCTCTGCTCCTTCTCCTTCAGTCTCACTTCGCAGTGCAGCACCTCCTGTCCTTTGTGCCCTTCTCCCCAGCAGTGTCCCCACAGCTCCCATGTCTGCTGTCAGAGGCAGATCCCTGACCCCCTGAAACATGTATCATATATACCCCTGACCCCATATCAGAGACCCACACCGATGCCTCCCTGACCTTCCCTCCTGGATGAACCCAACCCTGTGCCTCCCCACCCGGCTGCAGCGGCCCCTTCCCAATGCTCCAGCTCAGACAGGTCAGTTCCAACGCAGCCCCTGCTCCTCCAGGGAGAGGTGCAAGGGAACAGTCCCTTTTGGGCAGGGGATTCCACGTACCGGCCCTTCAGCGCGTTGAAGAGCCTGATGCCATCCGCGGGGCCGCAGATCTGGATCACGTCCTCCCTGGTGAGCTTCAGCAGGTCTGCACCTACAGCGTGAGGGGAGAAACCAGGAGTCAGCCCAGGGGGCTGGGATGGGGGCTCTGGGGTCCCCCTCCTCCTGCTCACGGAGCTCAGCCCATTCCCAAACTGCCTTTTGGGAACAACCTCCCCCTGCTTCCCCCTAAGGGTTCTCTTCCAGGCTGGTGCAACCCCGCTTCCCATGGGATCATCCCCAGCCCGGGTGACCCTGGATCATCGGGGTGGGGAGAGGCAAATAAATGAGAAGCATTTCTTTAGCCACAGTGCTCCCCTCAGGCCTGGGTTTGCTTTGACATCAGAGGGTGCTCTCGGAGCAGAAACCACCCCAGTCCCCACTGTTGGGCAGCAGGGAGCGAGGTGAGAGAGGAAGAACATGGCCTTCAGGGAGCCCCGTTTATTGGGTTGCAATAAAGAAGGAGGGGTTCAAGAAGGGTTTACAGTTCTGGTGTCCTCAACGTAAAAAGGACATGGATCTGTTGGAACAAGTCCAGAGGAGGCCACGAGGATGCTCAGGGGCTGGAGCAGCTCCTGTATGGAGACAGGCTGAGAAAGTTGGGGCTGTTCAGCCTGGAGAAGAGAAGGCTGCGGGGAGACCTCATAGCATCCTTCCAGTATCTGAAGGGGGGATATAGGGATGCTGGGGAGGGACTCTTCATTAGGGACTGTAGTGATAGGACAAGGGGTAATGGGTTAAAACTGAAACAGGGGAAGTTTAGATTGGATCTAAGGAGGGAATTCTTTCCTGTAAGGGCGGTGAGGCACTGGAATGGGTGCCCAGGGAGGTTGTGAATGCTCCATCCCTGGCAGTGTTCAAGGCCAGGTTGGACGAGGCCTTGGGTGGGATGGTTTAGAGCAAGGTGTCCCTGCCCATGGCAGGGGGTTGGAACTCGATGATCTTGAGGTCCTTTCCACCCCGAACCATTCTATGATTCTATGATTCTATGATTCTAAGACCGTTTCCATTTGCATGGGGGTGGCCCCAGGAGCAGGAGGAGGCCGGGCCGTGGCTCAGAGAAGGGGCAGGCACGGGGGGGATGTGGGATCCTACCGGAGAAGTTCCGGAAGAGCCGTGAGAAGGTGGAGAACCGGTTCCGGTGCAGCCACTGCTGGGCCTCCTGTGGCGTGCTGGTGGGCAGAAGGTTCTGCAGGGAGGGACAGGATGGGCACGGCCTCAGGGGGGTGTGGGAGCGTTCCCACAGGGGGAAGCACCCCAAGAGCCTAAACTCGAGAGCCTGCTGAGCCCTCGCAGCACACAGAGGCTGCAGCCGGCACAGGCTTGGGTCTAAAAGGGCTTCAGAGGGACAGAGAGAAGGGAGGGAGCAAAGGGGAAAGCACAGTGAGGAGCGAGGCAGGAAGCAGGAAAAGGGGCTTTGGAGTGAGTCCAGAGGAGGCCATGGGGATGCTGCGAGGGCTGGAGCAGCTCTGCTCTGGAGCCAGGCTGAGAGAGCTGGGCTGGGGCAGCCTGGAGAAGAGAAGGGGAGACCTGAGAGCAGCTCCAGTGCCTAAAGGGGCTGCAGGGAACCTGGAGAGGGGCTGGGACAGGGGATGCAGGGACAGGGCAAGGGGAATGGCTTGAACCTGCCCGAGGGGAGCCTGAGCTGAGCTCTTAGGCAGAAGCTCTTCCCTGTGAGGGTGCTGAGGTGCTGGCACAGGGTGCCCAGAGAAGCTGTGGCTGCCCCATCCCTGGCAGGGCTCAAGGCCAGGTTGGACACAGGGGCTTGGAGCACCCTGCAACAGTGGAAGGGGTCCCTGGAGCTGGAGGAGCTTTCAGGTCCATCCCAACCCAACCCGTTCCATGATTCTGTAATCACAGCTCACAGCGAGCTCCAGGACACTGCCCCCAGCGCTGCACTGGGCACTTCTCACTCCATCACCTCTTTGTCTAATGAGGAGTCAGAGAAAGGGTTTCAGCTCCCCAGGGATGTTCAACCAGAGCAGACTCATCCCCAGCAAACTGCGGCCACCCCCACCCCCTTCTGCACCCCAAACCCCACGTTCTGACCTGCACAGCACCCTTACAGGCATAAGCTGAGGTGAGACTTACATCTGCGATGGGAGGAGGGGGCTCGGGCTGGTGGTTCGGAGAGCCATTGCTGCGTTGGGAAGAGGCAGACAGAGCAGAACAAGAGGTTAGAGCTGCTCCCCCCCTTCTTGTGCAGGATCCTGGCCAGCAGCAACCCCCACCCTCCACATCCCATAACCAGGAGCACTGGGACACAGGGACGGCAGCTCCGTGGGGCGGCAGCACTGCTGTGGTGCAGTGGGGTGTTAAGAGCATGAACACAGGAGGGAAAGGCAGAGTGAGGTGGGCTGGAAGCTGAGCTTGGGAGCAGATGCTCCTTGTGCCAGAGCTGAGCTTGGCTGCAGCCACAAGCAACAGCTTCAAGGGCTTTGACTGGATTTGTCCCTCATTGGCACGGGCTGCTTCAACCCCCTGCAGCCTCCCTTTCACCAGGGTCAGCCCAGACACATCCATCTTGACAAGGGATGCAGGGACAGGGCAAGGGAACGGCTTGAACCTGCCCGAGGGGAGACTGAGCTGAGCTCTGGGGCAGAAGCTCTTCCCTGTGAGGGTGCTGAGGCGCTGGCACAGGGTGCCCAGAGAAGCTGGGGTTGCCCCATCCCTGGCAGTGCTCAAGGACACAGGGGCTTGGAGCACCCTGCTCCAGTGGAAGGGGTCCCTGGACCTGGAGGAGCTTTCAGGTCCCTTCCAACCCAACCCATTGCATGATTCCATGACCTCTCACACAAGCCAAGCTCTTCTCCCAACTCACCCTTCGCCAATGGAAAAGCTGCTGTGGGAACTGTTGAAGCCAGGGGATGGGGAGTTATTGACGTAGGTGATCTCTGGCCAGGGGGAGCACTAGAAAGGAGAACCCAGAATCATCACAGGATTGCTCTGAACAAGCTCCCACATCTGCTCTGCTCAGCACAGGTGAGCAGCTACCTCCTCACTGACTATGAAGCACAATTAAACACTAAAGCAGGGGACCAAAAGCAGCCAGGCCAAGCGACTGCACATTGGTTTAGTGATTCTTAACCTCAAAAGGCCCAAAGTCACACAAGTCAAGCAGAGAGAGCTGGGGTCTAACCAGTGCTCTGGCTCTGGCTGCACACCCAGTGCCCACCAGCCTGGGTTCCTCCAAGCAGCAAATCCATGGTGGATTGAGCATGAATCAGGCCCTGAGAAGCATTCCCAGATCACCCTGGGGCAGGATGAGGGCTCCTTCCCCCAGTAACCACCTCTTATGAGCTGATCTATTGAGTGGGGACATCCCATCCCACTGCCAGGCACAAGAGCCCTTTCCCAGGTCTAGTAAGAACTGATCCTGCTTTTGTCCTGCAGCTATTCCCACCCTGGCCAGAGGCTGGGAAGCAGAAGAGCCAATTCCCTGCCACGTGCAGGCAAAAGGAGCCAGGTTTGGTGACAAGAGCCCTGCGAGTGCTGGCTGGGGGCCCTACCTCGGTGAGGATTGTGGTTTCATAGGAAGGCTGGTACTTCTCTTTCTCATGAGGTGTTCGCTTCTCCATCTTCTCCCTGTCCGTCTTCTGCTTCCGATCAGCTCCTTTGGGCTGGAAAGGAGAACTCCTGTGAGAACAGCAGCAGGGAAGGGCAGCAGCAGATGGGGGAAGAGATGGGCAGTAAAGGCAAGGACCACAAAGGGTGACACATCCTCATCCTCACTCACCTGGTGCTTTACAGAGGGAAAAGGACAAGGGGATGGGGTTTGCTGCACAGAGAATGAACCATTTGTGCAACAACCCCAAATCCCCTTCTGCCCACACCCCCTCCCAGTCTCCCAGTGTCCTGGTCTCTTTTCCTTTGGACATCAAACTGGAGACCTGAACAAGGTACCACAGTGCTCTGGGTGAGGAGGTGCTGCTGCTTCTGGTGGCCCAAGGACCAGTTTCTGCCATGAAAACCTAGTGGTTGCTCTTAGGTTTCCATGCTCAGGACTGCTGCTTCTGGTGGCTAGGAAGGATCTGGGCTCCAGACACCAACACGCATGGGGAAAGGGCCCCCAGCATCTCTTGGAGGTCACCAACAGAACCCAGCTGTGAGGGGCAGGAGCCCAACCCACACTGCCCCCTGCCAGAGACCATGCCCTGAAGCTGCCCCTTCATTGCTTTGGGTTTTCCTGCTTCAAGGTCACCAGAGCCAAAACCCCCAAGCACAGAGAGCAGGAATGCACCCCCCGATGCCTCCCAGCCCCACTCTCTGGGTGCTGCTCCTCATCCCTTCACTCCCAGCTCCATAGCCCCCTGCTCTGGCTGCCTGCACTGAGGGAGCAGCCAGAGGCCAAGCAAGCCCTGACAACCACCCCCTGCCTGCACAATGTCACCCCCAAACAGGCAACAAGGGCAGAGGAAGGAGGGAGATGCCAGGTCAGCAGCAGCACAGGTGCCTGCCCCACTGCGTGCCCTGACAGGGAGAAGAGGAGCCACAGGTGAGATGTTCAGGGACAAGGCAACCTGGCTACCAGGCAGCAGGAAGGACCCTCCTCAGTCATCCAGGCCACCGTGGATGCCCCTGCCATATCATGGCTTTGGCTGTGGGGACAGGATTTGGAACAGGGACCAGGCACTTGGGCTGCTGGAGAGGGCGGATGCAGGGGGACCATCAGATGCAGGGGGGCCCATCAGATGCAGGGGGACCATCGGATGCAGGGGGACCATCGGATGCAGGGGGGCCCATCAGATGCAGGGGGGCCATCGGATGCAGGGGGGCCATCGGACGCAGGGGGGACCATCGGACGCAGGGGGGACCATCGGACGCAGGGGGGACCATCGGATGCAGGGGGACCATCTGATGCAGGGGGCCCATCTGATGCAGGGGGGACCATCTGATGCAGGGGGACCATCTGATGCAGGGGGCCCATCGGATGCAGGGGGGCCATCTGATGCAGGGGGACCATCGGATGCAGGGGGACCATCGGATGCAGGGGGGGCATCGGATGCAGGGGGGGCATCGGATGCAGGGGGGCCCATCGGATGCAGGGGGACCATCGGATGCAGGGGGCCCATCGGATGCAGGGGGACCATCGGATGCAGGGGGACCATCGGATGCAGGGGGACCATCGGATGCAGGGGGACCATCGGATGCAGGGGGACCATCGGATGCAGGGGGACCATCGGATGCAGGGGGGGCATCGGATGCAGCTGGGCCCATCAGATGCAGGGGTGCCATCAGATGCAGGGGGACCATCAGACGCAGGGAAGAATAAAGGGAGGAGTTCAGACAGACACTAAAGCTCCCAGGATCTCCCAAGCTGGTAAGACTCAAGCCTAAATGTGGCAGGTTCCAACAGAGGCAACCGCAGCCACATCCTCTCTGTAGGCTGCTCTTGGCTCGCTGGTTTTGAAGCCTCAATGGCATTGAGAGAGGAGGAACCAGGGAGAGGGCAGCAAGGCAAGACCAGAAGGAACAAGAGGCCCTTCTTGCAGGCAGCCTTGGTCATGGGCCTGCACCCATGCTGTTCACTGGGGCTGCAGTGTGGCCTGGGACTGAGTCCCAGTTTGTTTCTCAGTGGGAAAAGGCCACCAATGGGCTGAGGTACCTTGAAGACCTTGATCTGGCAGCTGGCAGAGTGCAGATGCTCCGTGTACTCCCCATTCTCGTTCTCCTTGAATGTGTCGATCTGGACCCGAAAGGGCACCCCCTTCTCTCCTCCGTGCTTCCTCATGGTGAACTCGGTGCTAATACAGTGCACCTGGGGAAGGCAAAGCAGCCTGTGGTTAGGAACTGGGCCATGTCTGAAGAGCCACAAGCTTCCCCTTCCCTTGGGGGTGCCAGGACAGCCCAGGGTGGAACCCAGCGCTGGGATGGGGCTCACCAAGTACCCCCAGCAGGAAGGAGTTAAGGGGATGGCACAGCAGAGCTGGAGCCACATTCTCCACACGTTTTGCAACCCCTCACTGGTCCAAGTGAGTCCTGATCAGCAGCACAGAGCTGAGCTGCAGCAGCCTCCCCATGCTGCAGCCTGCTCGCATCCCAGGCTGCAGACAGGGGTTTGAGGCAGCTGCTGCTGATGGGAGACCCAAATCATGGGAGCAGCAGGACCTAAAGCACCACCAGAACGTGTAAAACTCCCTGTGCCTGTGCCTGGCTGATGCACAAACTGCTGCTCTCCTGCACTGCTGCAGGTTGGGGGTATTTTAGTTGACAGCCTTCTACCACTGCAGCATCTGGCTGCTGTTTCAGTGCTCCCAGTTCAAAACCCATCTTCTTCCCCCTTGGAAAACCTGTATTCTCCTATCAACAGGAGCTTCTCCACTTCTCTCTTACCTGGATAAACACAGAAGTCCTCTTGGAAGGATCCCATAGGAACTCCACAGTATTGAGCTGAGTTGGGTTTGCTCTGGGGTCAATGATGCCCACAGACATTGGGATATCTGCAGGGGCACAAACAGAGGACAAGCTGCCTTTGGTAGCAGAAAGAGGGGGGAGACCTTGCCAGGGAACATAGGGAAGAAGCAACCGCATCTCCCAAAGAGCAGAACCCCGAGAGCACCTTCCCCTTAACATCAAAGGGGCAGGAGCCCGGCTGGAGGTATCTGAGGCTCCTCCATCTCCTCCAGCCCCTGCCATGGGACTCACCGATGTCCAGGATCCTGTCCCCAGGCCGGTTCCAGCGCCAGCCCTCCAGCTGCTGGTGCTCCGTGTACTGCAGCCGCCGGTCGTGGAACACCACCCGGAATATGCTCTGCAAGGGGATGCAGTCAGGGCCTGGAGCTGCTCCCTCCTGCAGGGGAGGGTCCTGGCTCCACACATCCTCCTGCTCCCCACTCACCTTCACCAGCTTCCCATTGATCTCCGGCAGCTCCCCGATCTTCCTGTTGTCCAGCATCCGGATTTCATAGGACTGCCCTGGGGGGGGGAGACAAAGACCCCTCGAGGTTAGCTGGGGATGGACCTCTCCTCCTTCTGACACCGGTTCCTGCCACACCAGACACAGCACTGCATCTTCTTGCTGTGTTTCGGTGGGGGGGACACAAGCACTGGAGCCACAGCTGTAACACCCCTCTGCAGGAAGAGACAATCCTCGCCCTTCCTGCAGCAGAGCCTCCCAGGAATCACCTTTATTAACCCAAGATCAGGAACAGGGAAGAAACCTATTCCATAAGCTTCACCTGCCTTTGGTCAGCAACCCTGATCTTCCAGTTCTACCTGGGAGCAGTGGGTACGGCTGGAACCCCACACGGATACACCAGTTAACCCCTACACATGTGTATTTCCATCAGGTTAATCCCACAGAGCACTGACGCCACTGCTGTAGGCAGAGCACAGGCAGCAAGGGGAAGGATGTGGCACTTCCAAACAGGAGCACTGTGGGATTTACCACTCCATGGGGCTGATTACTCCATTATATTACAAGGGATGCAGGGCCAGGGCAAGGGGAATGGCTTGAACCTGCCAGGGGGGAGACTGAGCTGAGCTCTGAGGCAGAAGCTCTTCCCTGTGAGGGTGCTGAGGCGCTGGCACAGGGTGCCCAGAGAAGCTGGGGCTGCCCCATCCCTGGCAGTGCTCAAGGACACAGGGGCTTGGAGCACCCTGCTCCAGTGGAAGGGGTCCCTGGGGCTGGAGGAGCTTTAAGCTCCCTTCACCCCAAACACTGTGTGATTCTATGATTGCAGTCCCTACCCCAGCACCTCCCATCCCCAACAGCGATGTCCAAAGGCAGAGCTCCCTTTCCCATGCTGTTTCCACAGGCCCACGGGGCCCCCCTCACCTTGGTTCAGGTAGGTGAGGGTTTCATCATGCAGCTTCACGGCAGGCGACGTGGCTGCGCACAGCACGTACTGGAAAGGCAGGATCTTGTTCTCGTTCTCGGGAGGCAAACTCGACTCTTCCTGCTTGAAGATGGGCAGGGCAAGGACGTCGCTGCAAAGAGATTTGTGAGGCAGAGTCACCCCAGCTCTGGCTGTAAGGAGATGAGGTTGGGTTTGAGGTCCTCCTCTTAGGAAGAGCTTGGAGCTGGTTTCTCTCTGCACTCCCCATGCTCCCAGCAGAGCACCCAGGAGCTCCTTCCCCTATGGCAGGAGCTGGAGTCCTGCTCAGCTCAAGCTCACCCATTTGCCACCACTGCCTCCTCTGTGCTTACAAACCCCCCCCAGCCCCAGGGTGTCAGCTCAGGCAGAGCCCTTGGGGCACATGGGATCTCAGAGCACCAAACCCTCCTTCCCCAGCTGTAACCCACAGCACGATGCATGCACACATCTCAGGGGGGCAGATTCTGCAGGCTCTGACATGGGAAGAGCCCTGCCAGCACCCAGCACCAGATGGACCCCAGCTTCCCCCGAAGCCCCCAGGTGGTGGGTACCACACAGCCCTAACCCTCACCGAGGACTTGGGATGGGCACAGAGGTCAGAAGATGCTGCACAGCCCATGCATGGGATGGAGGAGAAACCAGAGCCCAGGGCCAGAGACACCTGCAGGCACCTCCTGGGTCACGCTCACAGACCCATATCCTGCCAGATGCTGCCCCAGCACCCTCCTGGCTCCCAGCTGTGCTATGGGAGCTGTGCTCAGGGCAGCCCGAGCTGGGGCTCATCCCCCCTGGGTGCTGCGTTGCCACTCTCGGTGCTGGCTGGAGCAGGGAGGTGCCCAAGCCCTGTGCTATGGACTCCTCCCAGGAGGATGCCCCTGGGTCCCTGCGGTGAGGCCAGGAGCTCTGCACATCCCTGTGCTCAGAGGCACTTCCCATACCTCAAAGGCAACAAGAGCTCGGTGAGCAACGCTCATTTGGTGCTGAGGCACTGGAATGGGTGCCCAGGGAGGCTGTGAATGCTCCATCCCTGGCAGTGTTCAAGGCCAGGTTGGACGAGGCCTTGGGTGCCCTGGTTTAGTGTGAGGTGTCCCTGCCCATGGCAGGGGTTGGAACTCGATGATCTTCAGGTCCTTTCCAACCCTCACTATTCCATGATTCTATGATTTAAACCCCTCAGCGACACTGTGGAGCCTATGGATGTGTATTTAACAGGAACTGCTTCCAAACCTTCTGAGCCACAACAACAGCTCCAGAGCACATAAACCAGCACATCCCAGCCCCATGTGAATCATGCTGAGGGGACAGAGCTCACTGAGCCCTGGGGAAGAGCCAGCTCCTGCTCCAGGCCGCGGGCCGGTGGAGTGCATGAAGGAGTTAAAGCAGCTCCTCTGTCCCCTTTGGTTGAACATTAAAAACCTTTCCTAAGGAAGAACTGGATTCATCTGGCCCAACACCAGCTCCCACCCCAACAGGGCCTTAACCCTCACGGGACTGAGCGCCCACCCTCCCTCCACCTCCACGGCTGCTTCCCAAAGCAGCAGGAGAGCCCTTCCCCACCCACATCCTCACTTGCCACACATGGAGCTGGGCTGAGGCCCTGAGCCCACAGTCAGGCATTGAGGCAGCCCAGAGGGTGAGCTTCCTGCAGCCCTGCCCCATGGAATGGGTTGGGGTGAAGGGACCTTAAAGCTCCTCCAGCTCCAACCCCTTCCACTGGAGCAGGGTGCTCCAAGCCCCTGTGTCCAGCCTGGCCTTGAGCCCTGCCAGGGATGGGGCAGCCACAGCTTGGGGGGCTGGTGAGGCACTGGCACAGCTTGCCCAGAGAAGCTGCGGATGCCCCATCCACAACCAGATCCTGCCTCCGAGACCCCACAGCCACAGCCCAGACCCCACCTTCCACTGCAAGCTGGGACCTCCGGTTGCTCAGGCACCCGTATGTGTGCACTGTAGGGCCCAGGTAACAGGGCCAGCTCCGAGTGCTGCAGGGAGCAACAGGACACAAAGCATAGAGACAGCGTGGTTATAAATGGCTTAGAGCAGACATCAGACAGGAGCTTCCCTGTGAGGGTGCTGAGGCGCTGGCACAGGGTGCCCAGAGAAGCTGGGGCTGCCCCATCCCTGGCAGTGCTCAAGGACACAGGGGCTTGGAGCACCCTGCAACAGTGGAAGGGGTCCCTGGGGCTGGATTGGAGCTGGAGGAGCTTTAGGGTCCCTCCAACCCAAAGCACTCTGGGGCTCCACAGAGCAACCAAGGGAAGCTCCTGCGAGGAGATTCCCTGCAGCACAAACCGCACTTGGTTCTCCTGCCTCCCTCCATTGCCCCCAGGCTCAGCAGCAGCGTTTGGGGGGCGCCAGGGGGGAGCTGGGAAGCTGCAAAGCCTTTGGGGACCAACACCCCACAAGCAGCCCCAGCGCATCCCCGCACACCGGCGTGGCCACAGCCGTGGGTGCTGCTTCAGACAGAGCCCAGCGCGCTCCTGCCTGTTCCCTTTGGAGCAGGGGAAGCTCCTGCAGCTCCGGGGCCGCGTTCCCCTCCAAAGCCCCCGATTCCTCTGCGCACCCGAACGTGCTCTGGGGCAGCGTCGTTTTATGTGGGAGCTCTGGGGTGGGAAAGAGGGGGGAAAGCAACGGCAAAAGAACCGAGGGGATGGAAGCACTCAGCCCGTGCCCGTTCCAAGCCACCCTGCTCTCCTCCAGACCCGATTCCATACAACGGCCCCATGAAGGCTCCAGGCTCAGCAGCAACCACACAGCACGATCCCCCCCCCCCGCTCCCGAGGTACCAACGCGCCTCTTCCATAGGGAGCCGGGGAAACCCCCCCGGGGGAAGCCCACGAACAGGCTCCAAGCGCCGAGGTGCCCACGGGACCCTCCCCTTCCCGCAGCATCGGAGCAAAGGGCAGCTATGAGGGGAGGGGAGGTCGCACCCGCTGCTTGGTCCCAGCGCAGGAGCAGCCTCCAAGGAGCCCTCAGGGTTCAGACGGCAGCGGCGCAAACACCGGGGCAGGGAAGGGGAAAAGGAGCCCTGAAGCTTCCCAAGTGCCCCCAGTGCAAAGCGGGACCCCTCCTCCCATGGGGGCGATGGACGCGCTCCCCCCCTACTGCGGGCTTTGCCCCAACGCCCCCCTTAAACCAACCCCAAAGGCTCCGACAGCTCCACCGCCAGGGCCGGCTCTGGGAGGCCGCTGGCTCTCCCTGTCCTGGCAGGAAGGAGGGGACGGAGCCTGGCTGAGAGGCGCTGCTCTCCCGCTCCCCTGGAAGCTGCTTGCCCCCCTTACCGGTCACCTCCAGTCCTGACTCCCCCCATTTCCAGTTGCAGCCGCTCCAGAACGCCCCAGTTTGTGTCAAGGCATCTTCCTGTGGCATCCTCCTCCTCCCGGGCAGCTCAGCCCCATCCCTGCCAGCGGCCTCCGTCCCCAGCTCCTGGGGGGCTCCCACCGCAAAGCGCTGCCCATAAATAACCCCAAAGCTCCACGCACAGCGGGGGCCTCAGGGGGCCCCGCACACCCCAAGGGGCTGCCCCGCGAGTCCCCAACACCGCGACCCCAGCCCCAAGCTCCCGCAGCCGCGTCCCGGTCCCGTCCGGTGCGAGGCCCGACGGGCGGCCCCGTCCCCCCCTCACCTCATGCTGTAGGCCCCGGCGCCCAGCTCCTGCCCGATGCCCGACAGGCTCGCGTCGAAGTCCTGCACCAGCCCGGACTCGATCACCTCGTCGGCCAGCGGCAGCTTCAGCGCCCAGGCCATGCTGCTCCCCGCTTCTCCCGGGGTCACCGAGCGCTTGGAGCGGCTCCTTCCGGCCTCTCTGACCCGGGACCCCCAAGCCCCGGCCCGCTGCCCCTTCACACCCCTCCGAGGGGCCGCGCCTGCCCCGAGCCCCTCCGGACGGCAGCCCCCGAGGGGGCCTCGCTGCCGGGGCAACCCCAGGCCCCTTTCCCCGCTCCCACGGGGAGCCCCCCACCAAGGCCCTGCCGCCGCCCCCCCCCGGTGCCCCGGGGCCGCTCCCCCCGCGCCCCCCGAGCCCCGTCGAGGGCCCCGGGCCGCGGCCCCGCAAGATGGAGGCGGTGGCAGCGAGGAGCCCTCGCCCCGCCCTCGCCGTGCTCGGCCAATGGGAGCCGCGCGACGCCGGTGACGCGCCGTGTGCGACAGCCAATGGAGAGCTTCGTGTAGGAGCAGCAGCGCTAGGATTGGATGAGGGGAAAGGGTTGGGGCGCTGGTTGAGGGGGGGGCGGTGCGGTGCCTTGTAAAGGGTCTCGGGTTCGAATCCCGGTCCCGGCTCATCCCTGCTCCGGTTGCGGGACGGGGAGCGGGGATTTCCTCCCTCCCGGGGCTGCAGCGGGGATGGAGGGAACGAAACCGACCCAGAGCCGCCCTCCCCCCACCTCCCCCGGCCGAAAAAACGGGAAAGGAAAAGAAAAAAGAAAAATACTGTTTATTTCACACCACTACATCAAGTGCATCAATCCCCATGTCCCGGCCCCAACACCCCCCCTCCAGCCGCCTCCGTCCCTCACCGCTCCCCTGGAGAAATGGGGGGCGAGCCCCCCAAACCCGCTGTCCCCGGGGTGGGGGGAGCACACAGGGAAGCGGAGCCGCATCCGTTGTGGGGTTCAACCCCCCAAAAACCCTTTCAGGGCACTGGGGAGCCCGCTGGAGCCCCCAAACACCCACAGCGCTGTCCCTACGGTGGTGAGGGGGTGGGTGTCCCATGGAGAAACCCCTCCGAATTCAAAGCGGGGGTGAAATGAAAGCGGGGTTCAAGCCCCAGCGAGCTGCGACGCTACCTCCGGCACAGGGGAAAACGGCCAAAACATGGGGATCACTCCTTTTGTTGGGGGACACACACACACACAACACGGGAGGGACGGGACAGAGAGCGGTGAGCGCAGGCAGGGTCCGTCACAGGGCACGGCACAGGCAAGAGGGGGGGCACAAGGCAGGGGTGATGGCCGCTGTGAACACGCTGCGGTCGGGTGCGATGTGGAGCAAGGATGGGGACGGGACGGACACACGGAGACAACTACGGGTAAAGGGTGGTGGTGGTGGGGGGGGTGATGGAGACCCAGCGCCCCCATGGGGCTGGGGGCAGAAAGTGCTTTGATAGCTGGGGGTAATGGGGAGCGATGTGGGGGTGCAAGCGATGCCCGGCTCAGGGGATCTGGAAGACGTTCAGTTTGCTCGTGTTCTTGAGCGTCTGCCGCCGGTTGCAGAACCAGACCCGCACGACCTCGCGGTCGTAGTTGAGCTCTTTGGCGATCTCGGTGATCTCCTGGCCCGTGGGCAGCGCGTTCTTCTCGAAGTAGGCGTTGAGCGCCTCGATGGCCTGCGGGGTGAAGGACGTGCGGCGCTTCCGCTTCTTGGAGGGCTCCCCCCCGACGAACTCCATCAGGTTCTGCTGCCCCTCCTGGTTGCGGAGCTCGGCCTCGCTCAGCCACTTCTCCAGCACCGGCTTCAGCTTCTGCGCGCTCTTGGGGGTGATGTCGAGCTTCTCGAACCTGCCCCGGGAGCGCGGTGAGGGGCTCCGCGGGCACCGGCCCCGCTCGTCCCAGCTCCCTCCCTCCCCATGCAGTCAGGGGACGGGTTGGGATGGGGACACCGCTCACGAGACCGGCTCCGTTTTTCCTCCTCCTCTCCAGTTCCCCTTCCTCCAGCGTTCCTCCTGCTCTCATTTCCTCCCTCTCTCCAGTTTTCCCGCTCCTGCAATTTTTCTCCCTTTCTTCATCCTTCAGCCTTTCCTCATCCCTTTCCTTTCCTTCCCTTTTTTCTTCTTTCAATTTCCTTTCCTTTCTCCTTTCCTTTCTTTTCCCCCTTTTCCTTTGCTATTCCTTTTTTTCCTTTTATTCCTTTTTCCTTTCCCTTCCTTTTTCCTTTCCTTTCCTTTCCTTTCCTCTTTTCCTTTCCTTTCTCTTTTCCTTTCCTTTTTTTCCTTTCCCTTTCCTTTCCTTTCCTTTTTCCTTTCCTTTCCTTTCCTTTCCTTTCCTTTCCTTTCCTTTTTCCTTTCCTTTCCTTTCCTTTCCTTTCCTTTCCTTTCCTTTCCTTTCCTTTCCCTTTCCTCTTTTCCTTTCCTTTCTCTTTTCCTTTCCTTTTTTTCCTTTCCCTTTCCTTTCCTTTCCTTTCCTTTCCTTTCCTTTCCTTTCCTTTCCTTTCCTTTCCTTTCCTTTCCTTTCCTTTCCTTTCCTTTCTCCTTTCCTTTCCTCTTTTCCTTTCCTTTCTCTTTTCCTTTCCTTTCCCTTTCCTTTCCTTTCCTTTCCTTTCCTTTCCTTTCCTTTCCTTTCCTTTCCTTTCCTTTCCTTTCCTTTCCTTTCCTTTCCTTTCCTTTCCTTTCCTTTCCTTTCCTTTCCTTTCCTTTCCTTTCCTTTCTCCTTCCCTTCCCTTTCCTTTTTCCTTTCCTTTACTTTACTTTCCTTCCCTTTCCCTTTCCTTCCCCTTTCCTATTCTTTTCCTTTTTCCTTTCCTTTCCCTTCCTTTTATTCTTTTCCTTTTTCCTTTTCCTTTTTCCTTTCTCTTTTCCCCTTCCCCTTCCTATTCTTTTTTTCTTTTCCTCTCTCCTCTCCTCTCCTCTCCTTCTATTTCCTCTTTCCTTTTCTTTGTCCTTTCCTTTCCCACAATCCCAGACTGAGCTGGGTTGGAAGGGACCTTGCAGCTCCCCCAGCTCCAACCCCTGCCACAGGCAGGGACCCCTTCCCCTGGAGCAGGGTGCTCCAAGCCCCTGTGTCCAACCTGGCCTTGAACACTGCCAGGGATGGGGCAGCCACAGCTGCTCCAGGCACCCTGTGCCGGGGTTCCCCATCTTTCCAGCCCTTTCCCCGCTGTGCACCCCATGCTGGTACCTGCAGATGGCCGACTGGCTGTAGGCAGGACCCTCGGTGGCCGTCAGGGCCTGTCCCACCTGCGTCTGCGTCAGCCCGAGGGACAAGCGCCGGATCTTGAAGTTCTTGGCGAATTCCCGGATCTCCTCCAGGTTGATCCCGTCCTCCTCCGTGCTGCTGTTGGGAGCCGGGGGCTCTGCCAGGGCCAGGACATGGGAAGGATGAGGAGTGATGGCCACGGAGCTGCTTCTCCGCCCCCCCATAACGAGCATCCCCTTTGCTGGGCTCCACAGCACTTGGTGCCAGCAGCCACCCCCAGGGGTGCAGAGCACGCAGCATCCTCCTTCCCCCCATCCCAGGGCATCCCAGACCCTGGATTCCCTCCTCCCAGTGCATCCCAGTCCCTGCCGTGACTCACTGGACACCAGCTGGCTGACGGTGGGGGTCTCGGAGCAGGTGATGGGGACAGGCACGGAGGAAGCCTTGGCTGCCGGGGCAGGGTTTGGGATCACCACAGCTGACTGGGTGAGAGCTGGGGCCGGCTGGATGGGCTGGACCTGGGCAGGGGGAGAGGGGTCAGCGCTCCCATAGCACCCCTATGGCACCCCCATGGCCAGGGCTCCCCTGCTCCCTGCCCACCGGCTCCATCCCTGCACTGGCCATGGCATTGCTTTTGCTGAGTTTGAATGGAGGTGACACTGGGAACAGCCCAGTTCCTGCTGGGAATGGGGCTGTGACAGCTCTGGGATGTCCCATTCCCACATGGAATGGGGGTTTGGGGGGGGACCAAGGTGAGGCTCAGTCACATCCCATCCTGGCTGAGAGACTTGGCAGGCACAGAGTGGGATGCCCCATGGGGCAGCACTGAAGGGCTGGAGGGGTCACATCCCAAAGCAGCTCATGGGCTCCCAAAGCAGCGTAGTTGGGTACCAAAGCAACGTGGCTGCATCCCAAAGCAACGTGGTTGGGTCCCAAGGATGCTCACGTGCTCCCAAAGCCATGTGGCTGCATCCAGACATCATCCCAGAATCCTTAGGGCTGGAAGGGAGATCACCCAGGCCAACCATGGCCAAGCCAGGGCACACAGGAACGTGTCTGGGTGGGATTGGGATGGCTCCACAGAGGGGGATTCCACACCCACCATGGGCAGCGTGGGCCAGGGCTCTGCCACCCACAGCGTAAAGCTCTGGCTCCTGGTGAGGTGGAACTTGGGGTCAGGTCATGGCCACTGCTCCTTGTGCAATGAAGAAGAGTCTGGCTCCATCCTCCTGGCAGCCTTTGAGCTGTGATGGGCACTGATCCCCTCAGGGTGCTCTGCTCCAGGGCAACCAGGCCCAGCTCCCGCAACCCCTCCTCATCAGAGACCCCCGAGCATCCCTGTGGCCTCTGCTGGACCTCTCCGGTAGCTCCTTGCCTCTGAGGAGCCCAGAACGCTCAAGTGCTCCCAGAGCCTCATGGGCACATCCCAAGGATGCTCAAGTGCTCCCAGAGCCTCATGGGCACATCCCAAGGATGCTCAAGTGCTCCCAGAGCCTCATGGGCACATCCCAAGGATGCTCAAGTGCTCCCAGAGCCTCATGGCCACATCCCAAGGATGTTCCTGCGCTCCCAGAGCCTCATGGGCACATCCCAGAGATGCTCAAGTGCTCCCAAAGCCTCATGGGCACATCCCAAGGACGCTCAACTGTTCCCAGGGCCACACGAACACATCCCAAGGATGTTCCTGCACTCCCAGAGCCTCATGGCCAGGTCCCAAGGATGCTCAAGTGCTCCAAAAGCAACGTGGCCACATCCCAGAGTCACTCAAGTGCTTCCAAAGCCTCACAGCCACATCCCAAGGATGCTCAAGTGTTCCCAGGGCCACATGAACACATCCCAAGGATGCTGCTGCTCTCCAAGAGCCTCATGGGCACATCCCAGAGATGCTCAAGTGCTCCCAGAGCCTCATGGGCACATCCCAAAGATGCTCAAGTGCTCCCAGGGCCTCATGGCCACATCCCAAGGATGCTCAAGTGCTCCCAGGGCCACATGAACACATCCCAAGGATGCTGCTGCTCTCCCAGAGCCTCATGGCCACATCCCAAGGACGCTGCTGCTCTCCCAGAGCCTCATGGGCACATCCCAAGGATGCTGCTGCTCTCCCAGAGCCTCATGGGCACATCCCAAGGATGCTCAAGTGCTCCCAGGGCCACACGAACACATCCCAAGGATGCTGCTGCTCTCCCAGAGCCTCATGGGCACATCCCAAGGATGCTCAAGTGCTCCCAGAGCCTCATGGCCACATCCCAAGGATGCTGCTGCTCTCCCAGAGCCCGGCGCCATCCCCTCAGCCCCATGCCCCTGCCCGGTGCCCTCCGCTCACCTCGGTGCGGGCCGGGGGCTCGGGGGTGCCGGTTTTCTTGGCGCCGGGCGCCTGCAGGGTGCTGCCGGCCAGGGTGGCGATGACCTGGCCCTGGGCATTGAGCAGCAGCTGCGGCGTCACCGTCTGCACGTGCAGGCTCGGGGCCGGGGCCGGGGCCGGGGCCGCCAGCCCGGGGGGATTCACCACCCACGGCAGCGTCCCGATGACCTGGGCCGAGGAGGAGAGGCCGAGCTGGGGCTGTGCCCTGCCAGCACCTCCCATGCGCATGGGGAGCAGCGCTGGGGCAGGGGGTGGCAAAGGCAGGGCTGCGGTACCTGGCCCTGGGCGTTGGTGAGGATCTGGCCCGTGATGCCCTGCACGCTGGGGATGGCGTTGGCGATGACGGGGGTGGCGGCCAAGGAGCCCAGGAGCTGGGGCTGAGCCCCGAGTGGCGCCGCGCTGAGCTGCGGAGAACCGAGAGCCGGGGTCAGACGTGGGCAGCACCGGGGCCACCGCGTCCCCGTGCGCGGCCACCCCATTCCCCGCGGCAGGGGGGGTCCTGCCTCGCCGGGCTGGGGGGCAAGGCCCTTGATGTCCTCAATGCATCCTTTAGGTTGGCCTAGAGCGGGGCTGCCTGCTCAGCAGGAACCGGGCTGGGATCTCCCGCATGATCCCATGGGATGGGAGCGCTGCAGCAGGGGGCTCCATCCCCAAGCACCCACGGCTTCTCAATGCTCTCCACAGCCACAAAGGCACCAGCTCCAAGGCAATGGGTGCCCAACTTCGCACCCCGTCCTGCCAGGGTCCTTACTATGGCAGGGTTAAAGGCGAATCCGGCGGGCTGCACAGCGATGTGGGTCTGGGGGCCGGGCGGCGCGGGCGCAGCGCTGGGCTGTGGCAGGATGGGGGGCTGGCCGGGGCTGGGGGCGAACACAGCGGGGGGCTGGAGCGGGGCGCGGGGCTGGCCCGCAGCCGGCAGTGCCTGGGCCGGTGGCACCGGGGCTGCCATGGATGTGTTGAGCACGGCGGCGGCTGCGGAGCAAAGACACAGAGAGCGTGAGCAGGGGTTCGCCCCCCGGAGCTCCGCGCGCCCCCATATCCCACTGGCTCTTCCCATGGGAACCTGAATCCCCAAGGACTGACCCACAGCGGGGCTCATCCTGCCCCATGGGTGCTGGACCTAACCCGACCCAGCGCAGAGGGCGAGGGGCACCTCCAGGGTCCCATCACCTCCTCTGGCTCCAGATCACTCCCAGGACTCCCCTCTCACAGCATCATGGAACCATGGGATGGATGGGATTGGAATGGACCTGAGAGCTCCAATCCAGCCCCAGGGACCCCTTCCACTGGAGCAGGGTGCTCCAAGCCCGTGTCCAATAGGAGATGATTCCCTTCAGGACAGGGCACGAGGCCCTCGCTCCGGCTGCTCTCATACCCATGGGGCTGCCCCCTTGCAGGACCTCATCTGCTGCAGCTCGGCACCAGAGCCCAAGCCTAACCCAGCCCTCTCACCCCATCCTCTTGCCTTTCCCTGTGTGCTCGCTGCCATCCTCATCCTCCCCATCCCTTCTCCTGCACTGGGGCAGCTTTTCCTTTGGGGAGCTGCAACCAAGTCCCCAGCATCAAACATCAGCCCCGTCCTGCTGAGGATGGGCTGGGGTGGGGACAGCCAAGGAGCTGCGGGGCACAAGAGCAGCCGTTACCTTGCACACTGGCTATGGGTGCTTTGAATATCCCCCCTGTAGGAGAAGCAGCCGTCAATCCGGGGAGGGCAGCGACCGTTGCTGTAGGAAATGTCCACACAGCCAGCCCCTGCTGACCTGCCACTTGACCTGCAATACTGATGGGGATAAGAAGAGGTTGAGTAACTGTCCCTGCGGGAACCATTACTCCTGTCACAACTGTTGCTAAGTTTTCCTGAGTCAAGACCTGCAAAAGCAAACAAGATTCCAAAAAGAACAGAAATCAACGCCACTGCACACAGCATCAGCGGAGCATTAAAGTCTTTGTACAGGGGGGACCCCTCCCGCGGCAGCAGCTGGGGTGCCCAGCTCTGCCGAGCCCCCTCTCCGTGGGGAGGCGGCTGAGGGGGGATCTCCCCCTCCCAAACCCCCATCCCCTCGCCCATCCCAGTGCATCTCTGGCAGCACCTCGAGGCGAGGGCGCCCGGTGGAGGGATCGCCTTGGTTCGAGGTGTAGCTCCTACACCCCGCGCCACGAGCGGACGTCTCTGCCCTCGGGGTCCCCCCTACAGCCAGTGGACACCAACCCGGGGTCCCCCCCACCACCACCACCGCCACCTCCAGCCCGGCCCTGTCCCCCCCACCTCGCCCGCCCCGCTCTGTGTTATGGGGTAGTTACCTGTGGGGCCAGCGGGGCCAGCGGCTGCGGCTGCTGGCTTGGGCCGTGGTTGAATGTGCCAGCGGAGGGGACGGTGCTGGGGGATGCTCCAGCCACTGGCTTGGCTTTGCCTGTGGGGAGGGCAGAGATGGGTTGGAGAGAGGAATCATAGCAGAGAACCAGGGAATGAAATGGGGGGGAAGGGACCCTAAAGCTCCTCCAGCCCCAACCCCTTCCACTGGAGCACGGTGCTCCAAGCCCCTGTGTCCTTGAGCACTGCCAGGGATGGGGCAGCCCCAGCTTCTCTGGGCACCCTGTGCCAGCGCCTCAGCACCCTCACAGGGAAGAGCTTCTGCCTCAGAGCTCAGCTCAGGCTCCCCTCGGGCAGGTTCAAGCCATTCCCCTTGCCCTGTCCCTGCATCCCCTGTCCCAAGCCCCTCTCCAGGTTCCCTGCAGCCCCTTTAGGCACTGGAGCTGCTCTCAGGTCTCCCCTTCAGGAGCCTTCTCCTCTCCAGGCTGCCCCAGAGCAGAGCAGAGCTGCTCCGGCCCTCGCAGGAGAGGCGCTGCTGCTGCTGGAGCAATAGCATGGGCAACCCTCATCTGCACAAAGTGGGGGGGGGGGGCACCCAAATTACACCCCCCCAGGGAACAAGCACCCTCCTGTGGGTGTCCCGGGGGAGCTGCAGCCCCATAGAGCTCATGTGAGCACCCCAAGGTGGATGGAGCTTCCTCTGCAGAGCAAAGGGATTTAGGGGCTTCTAATGGGACGTGGTGGGAAGGAGGCAATGAGGGATGAAGGGAGAGGTTTGGGGGGGACCGTGTTTTATGGCAGGGTTAAGGCAGGAGATGCTTCCCTGCACCAGCTGCTGGCTCCAGAATCAGCAGCAGTTAAAGCAGTGCCAGCTCCTGACCTGCGCAGGGGCAGCTGGAAAGGGAAGGGACCGAGATCACCCCCAGCACCCTGCAGAGGGGGTCCCCATGGGCTGAGCTCCGTTGGGTCCTTCAGCCCTGCACCCAAAGGCACCGAATCACTGCGGCCATCCCAGTGAGGGGAACCCTTGCTCCTAATCCCTGGTGTTGGGGTTTGAGCAACCCCTTGTATTTATGCTGCTTGGTTTCTAATAATGGCAACTCTCAAGTGTAAAATCCACTTAATCCCATTTTGGTGTAAAGGAAAATGCCCTTTTCCTGCCTTTTCCTCGGGCAGAACCCAAAGAAAGCCCCGTTAATAAATAAAGCACCAGAGGGGCAGGGCAGCGGTGCTTGCAGGTGGGTTCGGGATGGATCCTATGGGAGGATGGGGGCGCTGGCCAAAAAGCAGTGAGGAATGAAGCAGGATGTCCCCACATGGGTCATTTCCAGCTGCATTCCCATGTGAGAGGGGAAGCGCCTGCAGCACAGGGTGAGGGGCAGAGGACCCCCAGACTCCAGTGCCTGAGGGAAAGCTGAGCTCCCAGCAGAGCATCCCATCAATGGATGCTCTCCCTATGGGAAGCACGTGCTCGAGGGCTGTGCTCCATGCGGGATGCTCCCACAGGAGGAACTGGGTTTGCTCACTCCTCTCCCAGCCTGGCCCAGGGATGCTCTGCAGAGCCTGCACCAACAGGCACTGCTCCTCCTCCCGGCTCCGACCCAGTGCTCCGGAGCCCAGCTTTCCCTGCAGGGATGGATGGGCAGGCAATGGGGCCGGCAATGGGGCCGGCAATGGAGCAGGGAATGGGGCAAGCAATGGGGCCGGCAATGGGGCCGGCAATGGGGCCGGCAATGGAGCAGGGAATGGGGCAAGCAATGGGGCCGGCAATGGGGCCGGCAATGGAGCAGGCAATGGGGCCGGCAATGGGGCTGGCAATGGAGCAGGCAATGGGGCCGGCAATGGGGCAGGCAATGGAGCAGGCAATGGGGCAGGGAATGGGGCAAGCAATGGGGCCGGCAATGGGGCCGGCAATGGGGCAGGCAATGGGGCCAGCAATGGGGCAGGGAATGGAGCAGGCAATGGGGCAGGGAATGGGGCCGGCAATGGGGCCGGCAATGGAGCAGGCAATGGGGCCGGCAATGGGGCAGGCAATGGGGCAGGCAATGGGGCAGGCAATGGGGCCAGCAATGGGGCAGGGAATGAGGCAGGGAATGGGGCAGGGAATGGGGCAGGGAATAGGGCAGGGAATGAGGCAGGGAATAGGGCAGGGAATAGGGCAGGCAATGGAGCAGGCAATGGGGCAGGCAATGGGGCCGGCAATGGGGCCGGCAATGGGGCAGGGAATGGGGCAGGGAGGTGACGGTGACCCCAGTCTCTTACCGGGTGCCTCCCCGCTGCCGGAGCTCTGGGTGCTGCCGGGGACGTCCTCACTGCCGGGGTGGCTGCTCCGTCCCGGGGAGCCCCCCGCTACCTCCCCTGGGGGCACCTCCAAGGCTTTGGGGTCCTCCTCGGCCGGGAGCGGGGCGTCCACGCCGACCTCCAGCACGCGGATGGTTTCATGGCCGGACATGACAATGACCTGCAGGAGAGCCCCACAGCGCCCATCAGTGCCGGGGGCTGCACCCCCAGAGCTGTCCCCCAAGGCCCCGTGCCCCAGCGCACAGGGAAGGGGCTCCCACCACCCCATGGGTGATCCTTAACCCAAACCAAGCAGAGCCCACGCTGTCCCCTCGAGGGGTGGATTGGGGGGGGCACAGCCCCTCCTGCTTTAGTGGCCACCCCATGGGCAGCAGCAGATGATGCCCTCCACAGGGAGAACAGGGCTGCAGCACCCCCAGCAGCACCCCATCAGCAGCACTGGAGCCAGTGCTGCTCCACAGCCCCAGGGGTCTGGTGAACCCCCTGCATCGGAGCATCCCAGGGTGGTTTGGGTTGGAAGGGAGCTTAAAGCTCCTCCAGCTCCTTCCCCTCCCCAGTGTGGGGGCAAACGGAGCAGGGGGCAGGAGCGAGATGGTTCCAGGGCACGCAGTGGGGCTCCAAACCCCAACTCCCTCCCCACGGTCCCCATGGCTGTGGGGTGCAGAGGGGCTGCCCGTACCTGCTCGTTGACTGTCAGCAAAGCCTCCTGCGGCTGCACGGCGCCCGTGTCCATGGTGCCCCAGCAACGGTGGGAGAGGGCTCAGGGCTTCCGCATGCTGCAAGGGGGGGACAGGGTCACACAGGGAATGGGGCTGGGGTGCAGAGCAAACCTGGGCCCTGCCACCACCTCCTCTCTGGTTCTAGCACCCAGCTCTGCCCCTCGTGTCCTGCCCAGGGAGGCTCCGGTGCCCTGGGTACCAATCACCCATCCCCTTGGCAATGAGCTCATGGGGCAGCGCTGTCTCTTCGCTGAGCATCACTCGCACAAGCAGGGAAGGGGCACTCCAAGGGTGGAGCCTTTCCCCCTTCTCCCTCCCTTTGGAGATGAGGTTCAATCCCTTGGGAATCCCTCGAAGCTCCAGGCACAAACCACCCGTCCCTCCTGTCTGAAGCCCAGGGCAGGCACCCAAAGGCTCGGGCATCACCCAAGCCCTGATGCTGTTTGCGAGCAGCAGGAAAGTCAACCTGCTCGTTCCTAAGGGCACCTGAATCAATGGGGATACCTCATGCAAGCACGGGATGAGGCGCTGGAGGTGGGAAGGGGCTCGACCCACTTGTTGGAAGCATCTCATCCTCTTCCCATGCCCTCCATGAGCTCCTTGGCTCACAGGCTCTGCCTGCACTGCCTGCAGGAGCACAGCCGCCTTTGTAAGAGGCTGAGGAGCAAAGTGTTGGGGTGCATCCAACCAGCCCCGATGACCTTGACTTGCTCCATGCATGGCCAAAGGTGTCCTTGTTTGTGTAACTGCTGCCAGCCTGGGGCACGCTGGTGCTGGTGGGAGTGACTGGAGCTGAGCTCTCCCCTCTCACAGCATCATGGAACCATGGGATGGATGGGGTTGGAATGGACCTGAGAGCTCCAATCCAGCCCCAGGGACCCCTTCCACTGGAGCAGGGTGCTCCAAGCCCCTGTGCCCAACCTGCCCTTGAGCACTGCCAGGGATGGGGCAGCCACAGCTTCTCTGGGCACCCTGTGCCAGCGCCTCAGCACCCTCACAGGGAAGAGCTTCTGCCTCAGAGCTCAGCTCAGGCTCCCCTCGGGCAGGTTCAAGCCATTCCCCTTGCCCTGTCCCTGCATCCCTTGTCCCAAGCCCCTCTCCAGGTTCCCTGCACCCCTCAGGCTCTGGAGCTGCTCTCAGGTCCCCCCTTCCCACAGCAGAGGGGCAGGATCCCCTCCCGGAGCTGCTGCTCCCGCTCTGGGGGTGCAGCCCCGCACTGGGGGGGTTCTGGGCTCAAGCTCACAGCCCATCCACAAGGGAGCTCAGCCCCGGACTGGTGTCAGTGCATCCCATCCATGGGGTTTCACTCCTGACAGGGAACGTGGTGCGGGCAGCCCCTGTTGCTCCACTCCTCCACATCAGCCCGGGAGGCACATCCAGGATGCAGGAAACACCCCAGCACCGTTGTACAAACCCCGTTATCCTTCCTCTGTGCCTCAGAAGCCACGGGGCTCCTGCTGGGGCCACCGAGCGCATCCTGCGCCGGAGCTGGTGTTTGATGCAGTTGGTACCCAGAGGTACTGGGATCCTGCTGGTCCAAAGGAGCCCCCATTGACTTCAGAGCCAAATCCTCCTCTGAAGCAGCGGGCGCAGGGCTCTGCAGCATCCACTCCAGTGCAGCAGAGCCAGAGCCAGGCTGCTGCCCATGGGAAGTTAATGGGCCCCCAGCAGCTCAGGCGATGGAGGCAGAGCAGGGGACCCCTGCCCCAGCAGCCAGCACAGGCAAAGCAGCCCCACTGCAGGCAGCAAGGGAAGGCAGAGGCTCCAGAAGAGCTCTGTGTAGAGCCCTGGCCAAGGGAGGGCAGCTGGGGCACAGTGGGGCTGATCCCATCCCATGGGGGTGATGCATTTGCTCCAGGTTCATCTCCCCTCTGCCCACTGGGGCCCAGCACAAGCAGAGCAGCCCCAGGGGCTTTGCTAACAAGGACCCCCCCCGGTGTCTGGTAGCAGCTTTCTCCTACACCTGAGCCTGGGAGAGGTGGGAAAGCTTCCACCTCTCATCCCATCACCTCCCTGCCACGGGGACCCCTCCCCAGTTCCCCAGTGCCTGTCCCATAGCGGTCACAGGGGGAGCTGAGCCCAAGCTGGGATCCCAAACTGGCAGCGAGAAGGGAACTGCCATCCCAGCTGGGAGGGAAGGGATGCTCTATGGGGGCATCCAAACCCACCACAGAGAGCAGAGCCTGGAGCCACGATGCCATGGGATGCTGAAGGCAGCCCCAGGTACTCACTCACTGCTTGGGGCTGAAGGGATGCTCTGGCAGGAGATGGGGCTGGCTCCTGGGTCCTGCTGGGCTGCGGCACTGGGGCTTGGGCTCTAGGGAGAGAAAGCCCGGAGCTGTCCCTGTGCCCAGCTCTGCAGTGAGGAGCAACCGGAGAACCCAAAGGCAGCCCCATCCTCAGAACCTAACCCCTGCTTCTTGATCCTCACCGCTGCCAAAGGGAAGCACTGGGAAAAGGAAACTCAAGGCAAGCCAGGAGCTGCTCCAAGCACGTGTGGTACCCAAGTGAATGGTACCCAAGTGAATGGTACCCAAGTGAATGGTACCCAAGTGAATGGTACCCAAGTGAATGGTACCCAAGTCAATGCACACGCTGGGAGCTTGGGGCCTGAATGATGATGCTGCTCTCCATCCCCAGCATCCCAAGTGCAAGAGCATCCCTCAGACCTGCAGGTCTCTTGTAGCACAACAGCAAGGCTGAAGAGAGCAGCAAATCCCTGCTCCAACCTGGATCCAAGTCTGGAGCTGCCCAGGGCTGCCCCATGGGAGGAAGACCCAAGGAAAGAGAAGAGCAGCACGAAGGATTCTTCCCTCTGTTCCATGCACTCCATTGAGCAGAGCCTGGTGCTGCTGGGTGCGAGTGGGCTGCTCCTCCTGCACCTTTTCATTTTGCTTCTTCACACTTGGTCCTTCTGGGTTGGAGCTTGCGATTAATGGGACCAGTGATGTGCCCAGCTGGTGGTGCTGGGAGCAGCGCAGGGAGGCAGCAGCTCGAGCAGATGGTGGCGAGGAAATGAAATGCACACACTAATAATAATAATATTAAAGGAAAAAGCAAGGGGGGGGATAATTTCAGATGCTCCAAGCCTCCCTGTGAATATAATTGCTGTGTTAATTGGGGGTGCTGATGAGTCAGAGATGGATCCCAAGTGGGTGCAAATCGAAGTTGGAATCGAGTTGCCACAGGTGAGGAACCCAAAGGGGTTTCTGTTGAAGCTGCACAGTGCTGAGGATGCTTTGGCCACGGCTCCAGCTCGCTGCTTGCCTGCTGTCATTAACCTGGGTTAATCCCTGTGGATGGACATCCCAAGCCCCTCTCCAGGTTCCCTGCAGCCCCTTTAGGCACTGGAGCTGCTCTCAGGTCTCCCCTTCCCTTCTCCAGGCTGCCCCAGCCCAGCTCTCTGAGCCTGGCTCCTATGGGAGCTGCTCCATCCCTCGGGTACCAGCACCCCAACACCTCCCAGCAAAGCCATCACCGATGCAAAGGGGCCAGAGCCGAGTCAGCTCCTTGGAAATGAAGCTTTATGGTAACAGCAGAGCCCCAGTGTCCCTCACGCAGGCTCAGCAGCTCAGAGGGCAGAGATCCAGGCTGGAAATGATGGATGGTTTTCCCAAGCACGTTCCCAGGTGTCTCAATGGGGGGAACCTGGACCCCAGCGGTGCTTTTGGTCCCTCACAAACCAGCTTCCCCCTTAAAGAGCCTTTGACACAGTGTCGTCTTCCATCCTTCCTGCATTCACTGATGGGGACACTGAGGCAGGAGCTGAGGTGATGCCACCCCTGGCACAGGACAGCAGAGAGCCGGAGCAGAGCCAGCTACAGGACTCCAGCATCCGCACCGCCGGCTCCATCACAGCCCTGAGCCAGCCTGGAAAACCCCGGCCTGGGGATGCTCAATCCCAAAGGAGACTCCAGGAAAAGCCACCCTAAAGGCCCAGCTCCTCCTCCAGTGCCAATGGGAAACGCAGCCACGTGGGGCTGGTAATGAAGGTGACAAAGGAAAGCACAGGGTCATGGTGAGCTGGGATGGGTGGCCATGGGGCTGGATGGGTGTCCTGGATGGGTGGCCATGGGCCTGGATGGGTGTCCTGGATGGGTGGCCATGGTCCGGATGGGTGGCCATGGGCCTGGATGGGTGTCCTGGATGGGTGGCCATGGGCCTGGATGGGTGTCCTGGATGGGTGGCCATGGTCCGGATGGGTGGCCATGGGCCTGGATGGGTGTCCTGGATGGGTGGCCATGGTCCGGATGGGTGGCCATGGTCCGGATGGGTGTCCTGGATGGGTGGCCATGGGCCTGGATGGGTGTCCTGGATGGGTGGCCATGGTCCGGATGGGTGTTCTGGATGGGTGGCCATGGTCCGGATGGGTGGCCATGGTCCTGGATGGGTGGCCTGGATGGGTGGCCATGGGCCTGGGATGGTGGCCATGGGCCTGGAATGGTGGCCATGGGGAGCCTGCCAAGGCCAGGAGCCAGCTCAGGAATTGGCATCAGTGGAGAAATGGAGCTGCTGCCACAGAGCGGGCGCTTCCCAGCCTGGATGAACCCCTGGAGAGCTGCAAATGGGCGGGATGGGAGATGGGAGATGCTGGTTGGCATCAGGGAGGAAGGGAGAGGAAAGAGCTGGTGGAGGCCCCCAAAACCTGCCTGAGAAAAGGGGGGACCAACACAGTCGGTTGGATCGCACTTTAACGGTTACTGGCAAAACCTCTGTGCACCGTGAAAGGGAAACATCTCCCCCCTGGCTATGGCACGTTCTGCATCTGCAGCTGGTTCCCTTCATCCTCAAATGGATCCCTGCATCTGCAGCTGGTTCCCTTCATCCTCAAATGGATCCCTGCATCTGCATCTGGGTCTCTTCATCCTCAAATGGATCCCTTCATCTGCAGCTGGATCTCTTCATCCTCAAATGGATCTCTCCATCCTCGCTTGGATCTCTCCATCCTCGCTTGGATCTCTCCATCCTCAGCTGGATCTCTTCATCCTCACTTGGATCTCTCCATCCTCACTTGGATCTCTCCATCCTCACTTGGATCTCTTCATCCTCACTTGGATCTCTCCATCCTCACTTGGATCTCTCCACCCTCGGCTGGATCTCTCCATCCTCACTTGGATCTCTCCATCCTCACTTGGATCTCTCCATCCTCACTTGGATCTCTTCATCCTCACTTGGATCTCTCCATCCTCACTTGGATCTCTCCACCCTCGGCTGGATCTCTCCATCCTCACTTGGATCTCTCCATCCTCACTTGGATCTCTCCATCCTCACTTGGATCTCTTCATCCTCACTTGGATCTCTCCATCCTCACTTGGATCTCTCCATCCTCAGTTGGATCTCTCCATCCTCAGCTGGATCTCTCCATCCTCAGATGGATCTCTTCATACTCAGATGGATCTCTTCATCCTCACTTGGATCTCTCCACCCTCACTTGGATCTCTCCACCCTCGGCTGGATCTCTCCATCCTCACTTGGATCTCTCCATCCTCACTTGGATCTCTCCATCCTCACTTGGATCTCTCCATCCTCACTTGGATCTCTCCATCCTCACTTGGATCTCTCCATCCTCAGCTGGATCTCTCCATCCTCACTTGGATCTCTCCACCCTCGGCTGGATCTCTCCATCCTCGCTTGGATCTCTCCATCCTCACTTGGATCTCTCCATCCTCAGTTGGATCTCTGGGATCTCTCCATCCTCTGTGAGATCTCTCCATCCTCGGATCTCTCCATCCTCACTTGGATCTCTCCATCCTCGACTTGGATCTCTCCATCCTCACTTGGATCTCTCCATCCTCAGCTGGATCTCTCCATCCTCGATCTCTCCATCCTCGCTGGATCTCTCCATCCTCACTTGGATCTCTCCATCCTCACTTGGATCTCTCCATCCTCAGCTGGATCTCTCCATCCTCAGTTGGATCTCTCCATCCTCAGTTGGATCTCTCCATCCTCGCTTGGATCTCTCCATCCTCAGTTGGATCTCTCCATCCTCAGTTGGATCTCTCCATCCTCACTTGGATCTCTCCATCCTCACTTGGATCTCTCCATCCTCACTTGGATCTCTCCATCCTCACTTGGATCTCTCCATCCTCACTTGGATCTCTCATCCTCAGTGGATCTTTTTCTCGGCTGGTGATCCTCACTTGGATCTCTCCATCCCTGTTGATCTCTCCATCCTCATCTGGATCTCTTCATCCTTGCTTGGATCTCTCCATCCTCGGCTGGATCTCTCCATCCTCAGCTGGATCTCTCCATCCTCAGCTGGATCTCTCCATCCTCACTTGGATCTCTTCATCCTCACTTGGATCTCTCCATCCTCACTTGGATCTCTTCATCCTCAGATGGATCTCTCCATCCTCACTTGGATCTCTCCATCCTCAGATGGATCTCTTCATCCTCAGATGGATCTCTTCATCCTCAGATGGATCTCTTCATCCTCACTTGGATCTCTCCATCCTCACTTGGATCTCTCCATCCTCAGTTGGATCTCTCCATCCTCAGCTGGATCTCTCCATCCTCAGCTGGATCTCTCCATCCTCACTTGGATCTCTCCATCCTCACTTGGATCTCTCCATCCTCACTTGGATCTCTCCATCCTCGGCTGGATCTCTCCATCCTCACTTGGATCTCTCCATCCTCGCTTGGATCTCTCCATCCTCGCTTGGATCTCTCCATCCTCACTTGGATCTCTCCATCCTCACTTGGATCTCTCCATCCTCGGCTGGATCTCTCCATCCTCGCTTGGATCTCTCCATCCTCGCTTGGATCTCTCCATCCTCACTTGGATCTCTCCATCCTCACTTGGATCTCTCCATCCTCAGCTGGATCTCTCCATCCTCACTTGGATCTCTCCATCCTCAGTTGGATCTCTCCATCCTCACTTGGATCTCTCCATCCTCAGCTGGATCTCTCCATCCTCACTTGGATCTCTCCATCCTCACTTGGATCTCTCCATCCTCACTTGGATCTCTCCATCCTCAGCTGGATCTCTCCATCCTCACTTGGATCTCTCCATCCTCACTTGGATCTCTCCATCCTCAGCTGGATCTCTCCATCCTCAGCTGGATCTCTCCATCCTCACTTGGATCTCTCCATCCTCACTTGGATCTCTCATCTCTGGATCTCTCCATCCTCATTGGATCTCTCCATCCTCACTTGGATCTTCCATCCTCACTTGGATCTCTTCATCCTCACTTGGATCTCTCCATCCTCACTTGGATCTCTCCATCCTCAGCTGGATCTCTCCATCCTCACTTGGATCTCTCCATCCTCACTTGGATCTCTCCATCCTCAGCTGGATCTCTTCATCCTCAATCTTGGATCTCTCATCCTCACTTGGATCTCTCCATCCTCAGCTGGATCTCTTCATCCACAGCTGGATCTCTTCATCCTCAGCTGGATCTCTCCATCCTCACTTGGATCTCTTCATCCTCACTTGGATCTCTCCATCCTCACTTGGATCTCTCCATC